ACCCTCTGAGGCGGCCGAGAAACAGCGCCGCAGAATGGGCAGAAAATGCATTAGGCGGCTTATTGTGCACTGTAAAAAGCAAACTTCAAAAATTCATTAAAAAAAAAATCTACAGTAAAAACTGCTCAAAATTTGGATTTCGTTAGAGTAGTAGCTCTACTCTATTGGGACTTTGTCAAATTTAACGCACCCTCTGAGGCGGCCGAGAAACAGCGCCACGAAATGGGCAGAAAATGCATTAGGCAGCTTATTGTGCACTGTCTTAAGTGCAAAATTCAAAAATTCATTAAAAAGAAATTCTACAGTAAAAACTACTCAAAATGTGGATTTCGTCAGAGTAGGAGCTCTAGTCTAATGGGACAATGTCAAATTTAACGCACCCTCTGAGGCGGCCGAGAAACAGCGCCACGAAATGGGCAGAAATGCATTAGGCGGCTTATTGTGCACTGTCTAAAGTACAAAATTCAAAAATTCATTAAAAAAACATTCTACAGTAAAAACTGCTCAAAATGTGGATTTCGTCAGAGTAGGAGCTCTAGTCTAATGGGACTTTGTCAAATTTAACGCACCCTCTGAGGCGGCCGAGAAACAGCGCCGCAGAATGGGCAGAAAATGCATTAGGCGGCTTATTGTGCACTGTAAAAAGCAAACTTCAAAAATTCATTAAAAAAAAAATCTACAGTAAAAACTGCTCAAAATTTGGATTTCGTTAGAGTAGTAGCTCTACTCTATTGGGACTTTGTCAAATTTAACGCACCCTCTGAGGCGGCCGAGAAACAGCGCCACGAAATGGGCAGAAAATGCATTAGGCAGCTTATTGTGCACTGTCTTAAGTGCAAAATTCAAAAATTCATTAAAAAGAAATTCTACAGTAAAAACTACTCAAAATGTGGATTTCGTCAGAGTAGGAGCTCTAGTCTAATGGGACAATGTCAAATTTAACGCACCCTCTGAGGCAGCCGAGAAACAGCGCCGCAGATTGGGCAGAAAATGCATTAGGCAGCTTATTGTGCACGGTAAAAAGCAAACTTCAAAAATTCATTAAAATAAAATTCTACAGTAAAAACTGCTCAAAATGTGGATTTCGTTAGAGTAGGAGCTCTAGTCTAATGGGACAATGTCAAATTTAACGCACCCTCTGAGGCAGCCGAGAAACAGCGCCGCAGATTGGGCAGAAAATGCATTAGGCGGCTTATTGTGCACTGTCTAAAGTGCAAAATTCAAAAATTCATTAAAAAAAAATTCTACAGTAAAAACTGCTCAAAATGTGGATTTCGTCAGAGTAGGAGCTCTAGTCTAATGGGACAATGTCAAATTTAACGCACCCTCTGAGGCAGCCGAGAAACAGCGCCGCAGAATGGGCAGAAAATGCATTAGGCAGCTTATTGTGCACTGTAAAAAGCAAAATTCAAAAATTCATTAAAATAAAATTCTACAGTAAAAACTGCTCAAAATTTGGATTTCATTAGAGTAGGAGCTCTAGTCTAATGGGACTTTGTCAAATTTAACGCACCCTCTGAGGCGGCCGAGAAACAGCGCCACGAAATGGGCAGAAAATGTATTAGGCAGCTTATTGTGCACTGTCTAAAGTGCAAAATTTAAAAATTAATTAAACAAAAATTCTACAGTAAAAACTCCTCAAAATGTGGATTTCGTCAGAGTAGGAGCTCTAGTCTAATGGGACTTTGTCAAATTTAACGCACCCTCTGAGGCGGCCGAGAAACAGCGCCACGAAATGGGCAGAAAATGTATTAGGCGGCTTATTGTGCACTGTAAAAAGCAAACTTCAAAAAATTCATTAAAAAAAAAATCTACAGTAAAAACTGCTCAAAATTTGGATTTCGTTAGAGTAGGAGCTCTAGTCTAATGGGACTTTGTCAAATTTAACGCACCCTCTGAGGCGGCCGAGAAACAGCGCCACGAAATGGGCAGAAAATGCATTAGGCAGCTTATTGTGCACTGTCTAAAGTGCAAAATTCAAAAATTCATTAAAAAAACATTCTACAGTAAAAACTGCTCAAAATGTGGATTTCGTCAGAGTAGGAGCTCTAGTCTAATGGGACTTTGTCAAATTTAACGCACCCTCTGAGGCGGCTGAGAAACAGCGCCACGAAATGGGCAGAAAATGCATTAGGCAGCTTATTGTGCACTGTCTAAAGTGCAAAATTCAAAAATTCATTAAAAAAAAATTCTACAGTAAAAACTGCTCAAAATGTGGATTTCGTCAGAGTAGGAGCTCTAGTCTAATGGGACAATGTCAAATTTAACGCACCCTCTGAGGCGGCCGAGAAACAGCGCCACGAAATGGGCAGAAATGCATTAGGCGGCTTATTGTGCACTGTCTAAAGTACAAAATTCAAAAATTCATTAAAAAAAAAATCTACAGTAAAAACTGCTAAAAATGTGGATTTCGTCAGAGTTCGAGCTCTAGTCTAATGGGACAATGTCAAATTTAACGCACCCTCTGAGGCGGCCGAGAAACAGCGCCACGAAATGGGCAGAAATGCATTAGGCGGCTTATTGTGCACTGTCTAAAGTACAAAATTCAAAAATTCATTAAAAAAAAATTCTACAGTAAAAACTGCTCAAAATGTGGATTTCGTCAGAGTAGGAGCTCTAGTCTAATGGGACAATGTCAAATTTAACGCACCCTCTGAGGCGGCCGAGAAACAGCGCCACGAAATGGGCAGAAATGCATTAGGCGGCTTATTGTGCACTGTCTAAAGTACAAAATTCAAAAATTCATTAAAAAAAAAATCTACAGTAAAAACTGCTAAAAATGTGGATTTCGTCAGAGTTCGAGCTCTAGTCTAATGGGACAATGTCAAATTTAACGCACCCTCTGAGGCGGCCGAGAAACAGCGCCACGAAATGGGCAGAAATGCATTAGGCGGCTTATTGTGCACTGTCTAAAGTACAAAATTCAAAAATTCATTAAAAAAAAATTCTACAGTAAAAACTGCTAAAAATGTGGATTTCGTCAGAGTTCGAGCTCTAGTCTAATGGGACAATGTCAAATTTAACGCACCCTCTGAGGCAGCCGAGAAACAGCGCCGCAGAATGGGCAGAAAATGCATTAGGCAGCTTATTGTGCACTGTAAAAAGCAAAATTCAAAAATTCATTAAAATAAAATTCTACAGTAAAAACTGCTCAAAATTTGGATTTCGTTAGAGTAGGAGCTCTAGTCTAATGGGACTTTGTCAAATTTAACGCACCCTCTGAGGCGGCCGAGAAACAGCGCCACGAAATGGGCAGAAAATGCATTAGGTAGCTTATTGTGCACTGTCTAAAGTGCTAAATTTAAAAATTAATTAAACAAAAATTCTACAGTAAAAACTCCTCAAAATGTGGATTTCGTCCGAGTAGGAGCTCTAGTCTAATGGGACTTTGTCAAATTTAACGCACCCTCTGAGGCGGCCGAGAAACAGCGCCACGAAATGGGCAGAAAATGCATTAGGCAGCTTTTTGTGCACTGTCTAAAGTGCAAAATTAAAAAATTCATTAAAAAAAAATTCTACAGTAAAAACTGCTCAAAATGTGGATTTCGTCAGAGTAGGAGCTCTAGTCTAATGGGACAATGTCAAATTTAACGCACCCTCTGAGGCGGCCGAGAAACAGCGCCGCAGAATGGGCAGAAAATGCATTAGGCGGCTTATTGTGCACTGTCTAAAGTGCAAAATTAAAAAATTCCATCAAATACAGCTAAGATATAGAGCCCCCAATTGAGCCAACAATGCAATGGCTTTTTATACAGTAAAACGTGAAATTGTGCATGATTATATTCAAGCAGATACAGGGTAAAACATCAGTAAAACCAAATAGGCCAACAATGTGATAACTCTTCTGTATTTTGTCAGATTAGGTCCATATCTTTCTAATGTACAGTAACCATGCAATGGCACTTTCAAGTCAATGCAATTGAATTTAATTCATACAGTCATTTGTATAACCCTTTTCACAATACATATAATTTCAAGGCAGCTTTACAGAAAATGCAGGTTTCTATGTTACAAAACCACAATAGGATTTAATGAGATGATATCAGAAAGTACAGTTATAAGATACCACAAATTATAGTATTTACAAATATCATATATGCATCTAAGCAAAATTAATGTGTTAAAGCAATTATAAATAGATCATTTTGTATAATCATTCATGTTTGATGTTCTGGAGTCCTTGCAAGGGTAGGTTTCATCTATTCAAATGTGCTGGGTCATCTGAAGTCTTCATAAGAGGCTGGATCCAAGCTGGAGCATAATCTCAGTACCTTGTGAAATTCTAATTTGTAATAATAATAATAATAATTTAAAAAAAACATGTATTGAATACATTCAAATGATGTTATTTGCAATAATTAAAGAATAATGTAGGCCTAATTATATTTTAACAGACATTTATGTGTTATTATTATTTATTTACCTTTCAAAATACTTTATTATTCTTTTCTGGAAAAATATAAACAATACAAACAGGGTCTCTAATAAGTGTGAATAAGTGAAAAACCACACGGTCCCTAAATTGAGCTGATGACATACAATAATTAAAGAATAATGTAGCCTAATTATATTTATGTGCTTTAATATTTGTACAGTCCATTTTCGCTGATATATCAGTGTTATTTGCTTTTAAACATTTTTTATTATCATTTTATTCGGAATATAGACCCAAAAGTAACACAATCCCTTTAAAAACGCGAAAAAGAGAAAACCGCACGGTCCCTAAGTTGAGCGTCAATAAGAAGCCAGCAAACGCGGAAGTTCGCGTCATTTAAGGTGGAACGGATAGCGTCAATAAGAAGCTGCGAATAAGAAGCTGGATTCAGCCTCGTCAATAGTTCCATGGTACAGTGCATCAGGTGCTTTGATACCATGGTACTGAATTATTGCGCCATATTTATGTATTTTCATAGTGTAAGATTTTTCCAAATGCCAACATACTTAATAACACCTAGGTTTTTGCTTTGTTTTGGTACTTTTTTGTTAGTGTGGTCCAGTACCTGCGACTAAATCCCGCACATCGATCCAGCTGCAGTGCTGAGGTAAAGCTGCGCGAGGGCTTGACGTGTTGGTCCTGCAGTAATGTGGCGTCTTTCTTCCGTAGAAACTCTCCTCAACCTCGATCACATGATCTGAGCCACACCGCAGGATAGTGTTGTCCGTACACGACAGAGAGCGTCCCAGTTCTACAGAAACATTTTTAAAACTACATCATGTTTCTAGTAAAAATGCCTTTATAATGTTCAAATGAAAGTTTTTTTTTTTCCCTCAGGCGTACAATTAAGATACCTTGCATATCTCAAAATGTCTTTGGAGTAACATTGTTTTCTGTTGTTTGCCACGCTGTAAATAATGAATTCATTTTATTGGTGTAACTTAATATAATTGGTAGTGATGCACGATATATCGGCCGCCGATATAATATCGGCCGATATGGTCAATTTTTTACACATCGGTAACGTTCCGATGTCATAATCACACGTGTGCCGTGGTCCGTTAATGACACGTCCGATTCGCGAACTAATGACTCATTAACCATTCACTTTAATGAATGGTTAAAACAACTGATCTGTCCAACACTGAACTCAAGAGACATAAATCGGAAACACTTTACAATAAGGTTCCATTTATTAAAGTCTAGTTAACTACATTAGTTAACATTCTATTAATATTAGTTTCTATGCGGATTTACTCCATGACAAAACCACCCCAGTCATTCTAGAATGATTCATTATTTCCAAATAGAGCTACCATATTCAAGTCATCTGGTGAAATTGTCTTTATCACATATATCGCAGAAAAATAAAATATCGCAATGTCATTTTTTTACCAATATCGTGCAGCCCGTGTGTTTTCTATACAGAGATATCGACTCACTTTACATAACGAATAAGCATACCAATATATTAAATAAAATAGCCTACTTATATTATTTATCATGCTTAATTATAAATGCTATAAAAAAAGAAGGAAAGCGTAAAATACACCAAACTCACAAATGAAGTAGAATCTCTGACTATTTACTCAATAGAAGTGGGCTTATTCATATTACATACTTGTCTTTTTTTATTTGAGTGTTGGGGAATATTACTTTAAAAATGAATGCATTACAATATTGTGTTAATCCTAATTAGTTGCTTGAATGGAAAATAACGTGTTATGTTACTTTTGCGTTACTTTTTCTTACCTGGGCTGGACTTTGTTGTTTGTTTTATAACAAAAATAGTTCTGTTTATGGCAAATGTAAAGGCCCTTTCACACCAAAAGTGAAATGATGCAGAAGAATAAAGTTCAACACTCTTACTTCAGCAAAAAAAAGGAAACACAAATTTGATGTTTACCTAAAATAATTTTAGCTTACTAGTATGGCTGAATTGGATCATCAAAGGTCAGCAGCAAAGACTTTGGTTAATAAAGTGAGATTACATACATAAAGTATATTTGTGTTTAACATGTTTACTGTTGGTTTGCATGATATTCTGAGTTTGCATTTTATGGTTTTTATTCATTTTGAGGAATACTGAATTTGTTTTTGTGCAAGTGAGATGAGTAAATGCCCACATTTAGTCTAGAACTACAACAAGCATCATGTTTACACACACAGCACACACAAAGCTTTTTCACTTACTCCTGATTTCTTTTAACATTAGCACAGGAGAGGTGTAAGTCAATAAATGGGAAACAGTAACTTGCGTTACATATTTGAAAAAGTAACAGATATTTTGTAACTTTAAAAGTAATCTGATTACATAACTCATGTAATGTGTTAATGTGTTAATTACTTGTTGTAATACTGAAAACTAATGAGCATACCAATATATTAAAAAACTTATATTGTTATGCATAATTATATATAAATATTATATAAAAAAAAAGAAAGAAAGCGTAAAACTCACCAAACTCACAAATGAAGTAATATTCCTGACTACAGTTACTTGAGATCATCCAGTGTAACCCAGAGTGTGTGTTGATGTGTCCACAGCCAGTTTCCAGCCTCGGCTCACTGAGCCAGTTTGAGTAGACCACATCTGTACCATCTAACCAGATCAAGCCATCTGAGGACATATGTTGATGCAGGTCAAATGATTTCTCTACTCAAAAAGTCATGGAATGGATTATTAAACATTTGCCTTTATTTGCTTTCATTTCGATCATAAAATCATATTCTCAAAATGCATTTATTCAAATTGCTTAGAATCAGCACAAATCGGTTTATTGTGAAAATAATTACATTTATTCAGTTAAAAAGGATGAACGTGGTTAAAATATGGGCAAACAATATGTATGAAATCAGAAAAAAAAGGATTTATTAATGACAAATACTGTACCTGGTTATTTAAAACACATTCAGTTTAATAGTACTATTACATAAATCCTAGCTGTTTATGTATGACAAATGTGCATCAAATTCATTTGATTTTATGATGTCTAATCCAAACAGATGGAAATTGTGGGCCTAATACATACATTTAGGCCAAAATATTTTAGCCTAAATGTCTTACTATTGCTAAATAATAGAAAGGCCATAATATTTCAACTAAACCATCGCAGCATTAATTCAAGCTTTCACAATAATCTAGTGCCGTCACACCATGTACCTTCCGTGTCCAGAGCGAGGTTGATGGAGGTAGACACTAGTCCTATCCACCAGTCCTGCTCCGCCTTCAGGTGTTTCTGGAGAAAGTGCTGGGTTTCATCACTCTGGATGAAGGCCAGGTGCCCACCGTCCCGCTCACACCAAGCCTGAGCGCTGAGGAAACTGCTCTTCAGGGCCACAAACTCATAGCAGGAGCTCTCGAAAGCCTGTTGGTGCTCGGGGCAGGAAAGACCTTCAGGTCCTGCTTCGCCACATGCTGAGATGATCAGAAATAGCAAAGTAAAGAGTCTGCCATCCATCTCTAGTCATACATGAAGACTAGAAGAAGCATCCTGGTGTTTTTGTCTATATAAAGGGTTTTGAGCCCAGCCAAAAATACACCAGCTTTCCAGATGAGTCTATTGATTGGCTCTCAAACACAACCCATTGATGTAATAGCCTAATGGATGCATATTGTGTTTTTATACAAACAAAGGCAATGTTCATTTAGATCAACTAGATAAGACAGCCTTTACCCACAGAGTGACGCACGGTCATTGGATAGGCACTGTTAGTAGTTCCAGCTTAGTTTTTCACAAATCAGTCCACCAAGAATGAACTAACTGGTTTTGCCAGATGGTCTTTTAGCTGATCTCCCAGCTTGATCAGCTAAGACCAGTCAGGTCAGCTATAGACCCTAAATGTCCAAATATGTCCAAAACCAGCCTGGGAGACCAGCTAAAACCAGACAATATAAAGAAACAGTGACAAACTTAAGAGTTAAATAAAAATGTGAAAATGTTTACGAATTGAAACACTATGCAGCTTTCTTATTTTTTTTAAACACAACGTGTTTAGATATAGTTGAATTTCTGATCTTAAAATTAAAATCAAAGGCTTATTTCCTCCAAATTTACATATGAATATAAATTTAGCTTACGTGTTCAATAGTGTTTCGTATCTTATGATAAGAAATATTACTTAGATGAAACACTATAAATTGAACACATAAGGCATGTGCATGAAGTAATCGTTTTCAAAGATTCACGTTTTTGTTGTTTGCACTTTGAAACAGTTTAGATGTAGATGGTGCTGCACACGACACCGTTTTCAACTAAAAATGTTAAACTTTTTATGCGTTTTGGCCGTTCATTTACATGACGGTGTTTTGGGTGCCTTAAATTTTTTTTTGAAAACGGTCTTTGTGTAAACAACAAAAATGCGAATCTGTGAAAACGATGACGTCATGCACATGCGTATTGTGTTCAGTCTATAGTGTTTCATCGCCATCTAATGGCCTGGCAGCAGAATACAGCGTTTTTAGTCGTTTTTGTGTTGTCTGTACACAGAAAACTCAAGGGAAAAACTTCTGTTTAAAGCGTTGTCGTGTAAACGTACCCTTAGTTTGTCTTGAAAATCCAAGGTTTTTTTGTTTGTCTTTTTTTTTTTTTTTTTTTTTACTAAAATGAGGAACTGAGAACACATAAAGCTTTACATTTTCAGTGTAAAATACAGTCATTTCCACTACTGAAGTGTGAGTTGATGAATGTTTATGTGAATAAAAACCTAAATTATATAAATAGATCGAGTCTCTTCAGAAAATGTGGACTAAACCGGTCAATTCAGATTAGTTTAACGATCTCTCTCTCTCTCTCTCTCTCTCTCTCTCTCTCTCTCTCTCTCTCTCTCTCTCTCTCTCTCTCTCTCTCTCTCTCTCTCTCTCTCTCTCTCTCTCTCTCTCTCTCTCTCTTTTTTTTATACTTTTTGAAGAGTCAAAGTGGTAGTTGCGTAGCTGTCAATGGAGGGACATAAAGCTCTCTTTATTGTGTTCCGAAGATGAAGGAAAGTCTTCGGGTTTGGAACGAGGGTGAATAATTAATGACAGAATTTTCATTTTTAGCTGAACTATCCCTTTAACTGGTAAAGTGTATCACTCCTGAACAACAGGGGGCAGAATAAACCTCTTCACTGTGTTCTGTGACATCAAAACCACAGAAGAATTTTACCAATTCAAAACACACCGTTGTATTTCCCGATGTTAGGGATCTTGATATATGGAAATATTAAACATATAATATCATCCGGTTTGCCGTATCTGGTCGATTTGTGTTCTTCATAGAGGTGAGTGTCTGAAACACCAAACACACATCTGTTATTAATGTTATAGATCAGGTGATGTACTACATAGCTACTGTAAATCAGATTCGCATCAGCAGCATAATAAACCATGTTTATAAACACTGTACTGAAAGCGATCGACTGTACGTGTCGCACGGCTTGTTTACATCTTTCTGACACTAGATATCGCGGCAGGTTAACAGCTACTTTGAGTTCACATCCCATTATGTCACGTGTCAATGTTTTCAAGCGTTAAAGATGTGAATGCTTAGGGTGGATTAACACTAATTAATGAATTTATTTATTTTATCAAATGATAGAAGCAAACAGGGTTGAATCAATAGCACGTGCAGCACTACTGAGGCGACTAGAAAACACTACACATTTGAAGGACAAAAGTTTTTTTGAGAAAAGGAAGTTAACGTTAAGCTTCACGTCTGGTTAGTATTTTGTGATCGTGTTAATGGATTTTTAGTTACAAAACTGATATAATCTGAATCCTTATAAAGTCTACTTTATCATACTTGATACATGAATTATAAAAAATCTGAATTCTGATACTTTCTCTTTTAGCAAGTAAAAGGCCTAGTATAATTGTAAAAACTGTCCCCTTCAGGTTGCTTGTGTCTTTTTGCAGTGACGATTTCTATGAAGTAAACGAATGAATATTAGTAATATTTCAAGATGAACACTTACTGGACTGAAGCAATTTATGTTTGCTTGATCATCAATGCATGTTTTTTTTTAAAGAAAAATGTTAAAATGTGTGAGTATCAAATATTATTCATCAGACTTTTGAAGAACGCTTATTTGTTCATCTCTCAATCATCATTGTATTGCATTGCATTATATGTTTTGCACACAAAATAAAAACTACACAAAACTATAAGCATTTAAATAACATATTACTAAGATATAGTATTGGGAGACATAGAGTGACAAATTACATTTTTATGCATTTTATGTTATACTGTTATAAAGGTCTTATTGATTTTCATTACAATCATTCATATTACTTTTTGGACATATAAATATCAGCAACTGCACCAAATGCATATTTTTGCTAAGTTTGGGCCTCTGAATAAAATGCTTTTTTTTTCAACTCCAGTATGAATATGAATATCTTTTCCAAAATTAAAACTTAATTTTATAAAAAAATACTTTGTATTAAAAATATTTATATTACTACTGTATAATCTATATAACTGGCTTTCTATTTATGCAATACAGTGAATGACAAGCATCTGTAGTCTCCCAGTAGTATGCAGTTAGAACAGTTAAACAGAAAGAAAACATGTAGCCTATGCCTTCATCTCCGATTTATATTTTGTCTTCCATTTCATAATGATCTCATACAAGCTCAATGCCGACTCATTTTCTGTCAGTTCTTTTTCCTGAAGTGGAATGTATGCTAATGTTTGTGGGTGGTTGGAGGACGCGAAGGCTACACTCGATGCTTCCTTTAAATGAGCCGAATGAAGGACGCGAAACGAAGGCTGCCTTTCAAGGATCCTTTAAATCGAGGTGGCCTTCGGCAGGGCTTGATGACGGGGCAGCCGAGATATATGCAAAGCACCCTAAAACTAGATATATCATGATGGAGCATTGTGTTTTATTCCCATGTTGACCTGTAGCCTATGTAGCTGTATGTTTAAGGGGAAAACGGTCATGAAAATAATTTTTTTATACTATAATTTATAAGGTTAGAATTATTATATTGTTATAATATATTCTTAATCTATCTTGTAAACCCTTGCAACATTCTACTGTAAGGGGTATACAGTCAAAGACCCAGAACCAGATATGAAGAATGAAGACCCGGAGTCAGAATTATAAAAAATTAAAGAAAAGTTTTACTGAAGATAGTTTGCATTTTCATCAGCAGAAGTCAGCTTCAAGACTCACACAGGAGTTCGTAGGCCGCCCCCCTTACAGTTACAAAGATCACAGCAGTTATACCATTTCCAAGGTCTAAGCTACGTCATTGCTTACAGGTTGAATGATTCTCATTGGCTAAGAAACATGAAAGCCTAAACAATTTAACACATGTGAGGAGATAGGGGTGCCTATCGCCATTAGTAAGGATAGTTGTCGTCCACTCATTGGATTTAGGTCTGTGGTGGCCTCGCAGGTTAGAGAAGGGCGCCGGGGTGTCTGGTCCGAACGTCCAGAACCTACATAGAATGTCATACGCACACACACACAAATAACAGACACTAGCAAATAACAGCTCCCATCAAGGCTGAAGAGAGTCTGAGCTCCTTATTATCAGTTAAGTATACCAAAACATAATGCTAAAACATTCACTCGTTTGGGAGAAAAACAGATCACTGGCATTTACTCCCAAGGAAGGAAATATACTGGAAAGAATACATTTTAATACAACAATTAAAGTTTGATAGTAACGCTCAATATAGCTTGACTATATGTCCAGCGAAGAATCATATGTGCCCACGCTGCCTTTAGGACCCTCTAACCTTTCTACTGATCCCAGAGAAAGAGACAAACGGCCTTGTGGGTTACGTGGCCTTCGTGTCCTGCGTGTACTACGTGCAATCTCAAAGTAAGATTGGGATGCACCTAAAAGAAACTGGTTACTTGCATCCATGCATTTAAGAAAATATAATTTCACAAGCACAAGAATATAAAAATTATTATGTGATAATGAATATATTTGATTATTGATTTTTATAAAGGAAGTATATAACCATTCAAAATGACATATGATTATATATGTATTTGAAGAGGCAAGGGATTTTGACCAACCCTTCAGTCCCCCGTTTTAGACCAATGTGGGGTCCAATACCGCCACGTCTGGTCTAACCAGTGAGGTCACTACGGAAGGGAGGAGTGGTGACGCATGCTCCCCTGATGGGTCACACTTGTCTCTTCACCTCGTCATGGACATGCTGGATACTAAAAATTCCAGTCCCCATTAAGAGGCTCTCCCACCTTCCACTCACAACAGGACATCAATGTCATTCTTCCTCAGTTTATCAGTCAGGTTAAAATTTTTATAAAACACATAACTGATTACGAAACAAGTACATATTGGAAGCCAGGCTAAATAAGCAAGCACTATTGCTGTATTCCTACTAGCATGGGCTAGATCCACAGTCACTACTCAGATCCTAAATAAAGACATTGTCTATAATCATGAATACCAGAATATATGCACTAGTTTTTTATTTATTTATAAAATTATGATTTCCAAATCCATTTATTATAAACAAAGTTGGATGGTTAATCCATTATTTTCACTACCCCTTTTATAGACCCTTTAGGTTTAAAACACAATGGTTGTCTAACTAAAAATAAACAACAAACAATAAAATATTAATAATTAAGACCCATAATAATCGATGTAAGCACTTTAAGTCTTTACTGAAATCATCCTTCAGTTTACAGTCACATAGCATGTACCATTTTAATTGTATAACATCTTATACCCTTTTTTGTTTGTTTCAAAAATAGAAATAAAATAAAACAAATTCACATCATCATTTCAGTCATTATTTTACCACTTAAATATAGGATCGTTCCCCATTCTGCTTAATAAAGCTTTTGTTTATTCCTTATCTTTATATCACTTGAATCCCTGTCAATCATACAATGTCTAACCCTAACCTTTTTCATACCATTTAAACTTAATTTGACTTCCATAAATCCTATCAGAAATTGTATTTTCATTACATACATTTTCTTGTACTATATTTCTTCCATCTTGCCCTAAATGCCAGTTCCTTCTGCATCCGAGTCTCTCACCACTGTCAGCCTAGTGACACTTAAAGTTCCCTCGTTAGGGGAATCATGGTATTTTATTAATTCTTCAATACTCTTGTTTTCTTATCATTAACTTCAACTTTATTTTTCATTATAACTACTTCTCACAGTATTTGTCTCAGTTCCACTTATCTTTACAGTTTTACAGAAACCAAAATATTATGTTACTCAGATCCCAGCCCACAGCCATATAGCTGCTTTCTCTTTTTACCTTTATTAAATTGTAGTTTTCTTAGACATCTAATGTCATACATACATTTAAGGGATTGAGAAATAAAACCTTTTCTTTTTAGAAGTTATATTCACTCCTTCTTTGTTCGCCCTCCGGCCTTTCAATAAAAATGAGGGAGCTCACTCTGGATAATTTGGATAGTGACTTAGCCAATGTGTCACTTTGTCTCTCTGCCGTCAAGTCTATATATATATATATTTTTTCCTACGTTTATCCTTATGATCCCACCTAGTTGTCTATTTAAATTTAGACCCTCAGTTGAATTTAGACAAGAGTTTTACCCCATAATGGACGGCAATCTTCTTTACAATTCCAATTTATATAAAATACTAATCCAGAGAGTAATTCAGTTCAATATCATAAATGACAAAAGCATTCATAATTACCAATAGCAGACAGAGCTGGAAAACCACTCCAATTAAAGCTCGTCCCATGTTCTGCATTGTCTTTTCATCAGATTGACTTAGAATTATCAACTTTTCTAAAGTTGGTCATTTCACTTAACCCATCTGTAATGATAAAACACTAATTCCAGAGGTTAATGACACAATATCCTCAAAATCAGGAAATAATAGTACCCCAAACTAATACATACAAGACATAAAGTGCTGTCACCATCATACGCACTCATACTAGACACACATATGTTAACTGTTCATTTTCAATGTTAATTTTTCTTTATATTATTGCTAAAAGATTTAAATTTTAAATAAGATTTTAAACTTCCCATTTTCCGGTAGCTTCTACCTAATTTTACATGGTCTCCCAACCAGTTTCAAAGCATGTCTTGTTCATTATTCATTAGAATTTAACAAGGTCAGCTGGGTTGTTTTGTTTCATTATCATTATTTTGCTTCAGCTTGCTCTAGCAGGCCAATAATTGAAAGACAGACACAGTTACCATCCCTTCCTCTGCTCAAGCAGTCTCTCTCACTATAAATAAATAATCTTTTTCAACAGCCTTCTAAGGCTGTAACTTAGACATAATGTAATATTAAATTAATTACAATAACCTTTGACCATTCACCTTGTTATCCAGACTTTTCTCAAATCTACAAAAGCTGTCTTCATCTTTAGCCACCACCATGTCTAACGACCTTCAGGAGTTAAAACTATGTCATAGACCTATTAGTTCAAAATCAACACTATGATTTTCCTTGCCCATAAGGCAAACCAGTACATAAAAAGTTTTGCTACTGTCTCCACAACAACTAATGGGAATCACTCAATGGCCTCAGCTGGCTCCTGCTCGCCCACTCCTGTTAGCCCTTTATCTATAATCTCCATCAGGGTGTTTTCCCCTGGCATATTTGCAGACGCTTGTCACAATAAAAAAACAAGCCATACAATGAATGCGGTTTCTGGTGATTGGTATTCGAGGAACACTCACGTTTCGGGGTCAGACTGTCTGTAACTCCTCACAGCTCATCCGCCCTAACGATAAAGGATGCTGCTGGCCTCACAGTCATCCGCTCCACTCTCATACCTTTCTCACATAAACACCTCCATCTTGAGATGCCCAGTGACTTTACGTGATCCACTCTGGCTTGGGTTGCCCCCTGTCTGGCCAATAGAAGGTCTTACCCGTCATTGAGTAGCCACTCGTGCCCACTGGTGACCGCTCTTTCCCATCACAGGCTGTTTGCTTCAACAGAACTCAGCTGTTTTCTAGAGCTTAGGAAAGGCACGTTCAAGAGTCACCAGAGCCATTCGGATTGCCTAATAGTGTTCACATAGGGAGACAGATTAATAACAACAGTATTTAATCACTTAAATCCATTAACTATCTTAAAAGCAGCAACCTAGCTACTTGGATTATACTCAGTGAATTTAGATCACAACCGTACATTCAGTGTACATTTCCGTCGGCCCCTCCCCCGTTTCATGGTGGGGACTAAGATCAGACAAAGAAGTTACTGGTCCTAAATTAACCTAATCAAAATGTCATCTCTATCTGTATTATTATTTTAAATACTTCTTTAAAGTCATTCAGTTTTATTTTTAAAACATCTCTGTGTCTATGATCCTTCAACTGAAACACTGTGCTTTACACATTATCACAGATACCAGTTTTTAGCTGACTCATTGAATGAGAGAGACTCTGAGACTCTATTGGATGGTACACTGCTCTCTTATATACTTCTAACATCAAACTTTTATCTATTATCTTTTAACTCTATCCCAGCTTAAGGCATCTTTGCCAGATATTACATACGGTTTCAAATAAACATATTATTTATATTTGTCTTTTGCCCACACATCAGGAAATTTAGGCATTACAAATTTCCACTCAGATTGAGTCTGTTGCACTGGCAGTTTCAGCCACAGCACACATCAGATTCAGATAAGCAAACTGTTTCATTACAGCCAATAACAAACTTATCTTTTGAAAACTAAACATCAGCTTCTAGTTCTTTCATGGTCAACTTTTCAAGCTGTTTGTTTAATCAGCATTTAGCAACTGTTAATTCAGTACGGCTTCTGCTTATTTGTTTTACATAAAAATAATTATTCTAGTTCTCAATAACGTTTCACATTTCTCAATCTCAATTTTAATTGTTAAGTTCTCAACCATAGTTTAATATTTGACTTCAGTTTTCTCTTGGAGTTTATCAATCTCCAATTAGGATTCACACTAAGTTTGACGAGGCAAGCACTCTCTGCTTGTGATACTTTTGCAGTTATTGTAAATCATCTGTGAGATTAGTCTCTCTATATCATCTAAAACCTTTTTAAAATGTTTAATTACAACACAATCATCCTTTAAGTTACTTTGATATATTTTGCAACTCACATTTGTTGGAGTCATTAATTTTACATCAACCTGTATTCATCAATTCACTTATAAAAATTAGTATTATAGATCTTTTCTTCAAAAGGATTCACTTTAAGACTTCAATCTTTTGACCTTGTTTTATCTCTTGTTCTTTCTCAGACGACAACTTTAATATCGTCATTTAAACACTGATCTACTTTCAAACTCACATTATTACCAGAAATGTGTTGTCATTTTATCACATTTTTAAACACCTTCTCGGTGGGAATTTAGAGTTACGTATTAAATGGTCCTGATGACCACCATTAAAACACTCTCTGTCATCTGGTGGGTTCATGTGTCAGCCTCAACGGCTCCAACTTACTGCACGCCCTTGAAGCAGTGTGTCCCATTCAGGAATGCAAACAGAGCTACTGATTAAGCAGTTCTCTGTATTCTTTTACAGTCCACCAGTGGCGGATTTAATCATAATAACCCAATCATAATCTTCATCATTATTATTGGCAGAACATTAATTTTCATAGGCTGCAAAATATTGTTTTCACAAAGTGTCTGTTTAACTTTAGTCGCTTGTCCAGGGAAATTATCCCTGACCCAGAATTTCTTTCACTTGCTTCTTGTAATCATCGTAAGCAATACGAGGCTAAACATTTTAATTTTTCAGTTTCTTTGTTTGTTTGTAGCCAGTCAAGTTTTTTTTTTAAATTTCCAATCAGAATCAAAATCCTGACTACCATTTACTTAATCATTTCTGCAAATTTATTTAAAGTGAGGGCTTTAGAGCACAGCTGCTTACAGCGTTTGCTTTTCCTGTCTCACTATTTGTTTCAGGACTCTTCAGGTTACTGATTAAGTTATTACATTTTTCTGCCATATCTTAATCATGGTTCATACTCACCTGAAGTTATTGCAGAAATGGAGGCGGCGATCTTTGAACAACACAGCTTGGCTTCTGCGTGATGAAACTGCAAAGTATACTCCAAAATCACAGTTACATATACTGGTCCATGCCAATTTGGGTCACAACTTTTTTAATTTTTCTCTCGGAATTGTTCCTGATGCATCCCTGGCAAACAACCCTATTATTGTTAGTATCCCTAACTGCCTGATTCACTTCACTAAGTTCGGGGATCCCCTATCTGAGATGGAAGAGATTGAGCAGGTTTACGGTGCCACTGGACCTCTAGCCCAGGGACGTGCTCTGCTGGGGTGGTGCTACACCAGTAATGCCCAGCGGGGCCCCCACAGAGCACGCTTCGCTTGCGCTGTCTGCTGCCGTTACCCTTAACGACGCTCTCAGCGACTTCTTATACTGTCAGCAGTATAATTAACTTACTCCTTCACTCGCCTCATCGGAGTGAAGCTTCACTCGCCTCATCGGAGTGAAGCTCTCCCGCTCTCCTTCAAAATCTCTTCCAGTCAGACAGCCCTAACAATTAACAAAAGCTTACTACCTTGTTTGTTGATTTGCCAGGGGTGTCACCGAGAATAATTGCCAGCGCATCCTCCACCATAACTGTAAGGGGTATACAGTCAAAGACCCAGAACCAGATATGAAGAATGAAGACCCGGAGTCAGAATTATAAAAAATTAAAGAAAAGTTTTACTGAAGATAGTTTGCATTTTCATCAGCAGAAGTCAGCTTCAAGACTCACACAGGAGTTCGTAGGCCGCCCCCCTTACAGTTACAAAGATCACAGCAGTTATACCATTTCCAAGGTCTAAGCTACGTCATTGCTTACAGGTTGAATGATTCTCATTGGCTAAGAAACATGAAAGCCTAAACAATTTAACACATGTGAGGAGATAGGGGTGCCTATCGCCATTAGTAAAGATAGTTGTCGTCCACTCATTGGATTTAGGTCTGTGGTGGCCTCGCAGGTTAGAGAAGGGCGCCGGGGTGTCTGGTCCGAACGTCCAGAACCTACATAGAATGTCATACGCACACACACACAAATAACAGACACTAGCAAATAACAGCTCCCATCAAGGCTGAAGAGAGTCTGAGCTCCTTATTATCAGTTAAGTATACCAAAACATAATGCTAAAACATTCACTCGTTTGGGAGAAAAACAGATCACTGGCATTTACTCCCAAGGAAGGAAATATACTGGAAAGAATACATTTTAATACAACAATTAAAGTTTGATAGTAACGCTCAATATAGCTTGACTATATGTCCAGCGAAGAATCATATGTGCCCACGCTGCCTTTAGGACCCTCTAACCTTTCTACTGATCCCAGAGAAAGAGACAAACGGCCTTGTGGGTTACGTGGCCTTCGTGTCCTGCGTGTACTACGTGCAATCTCAAAGTAAGATTGGGATGCACCTAAAAGAAACTGGTTACTTGCATCCATGCATTTAAGAAAATATAATTTCACAAGCACAAGAATATAAAAATTATTATGTGATAATGAATATATTTGATTATTGATTTTTATAAAGGAAGTATATAACCATTCAAAATGACATATGATTATATATGTATTTGAAGAGGCAAGGGATTTTGACCAACCCTTCACTACAATTTTAATAATGGGTTTCCATTTAGTTTGACATTAGAACTGAGGGAAAACAAAACATGACAGTGTTTAGTGCAATCAGCCTTCTGTACCCTTAAAGAAACTGTATCACTATGTTTTTTTGGACATGCACCATGTTTTTTCAGTGGTACATGCATATTTTTTAATATTTTATAACCGTATTTAGTCAAACAATCAACCATTTATACAATCTGAGACCATCAATTCATCACAGTTTCATAACTCTCACTAAATGGGATCCATATAGTTATATTGTGTTCCTAACATTTGATTTCTCCTAGGTTATAATGCTGTTGGCCCAGATAAATCAGTCAGCAGATTTCCAGCATGAGGGTGATGCTCAGGAGGTCACGCTCTGCTTAACTGAGGCTGTGGGGATTGCAGGTCAGACTTTATAAATGAGTTCTTTTCAGACATTGACCTTTTATTAAAGGGAAAGCTGTGCATTTCCCCCCCCCCCCCCCGAAAGAAATGAATACTATTATGCATTAAATTGATCAAAAGTGAATGTGAAGACTTTATATTGTTACATTTTTTTTATATTTTAAACAAATGCTGTTCTTTTAAATGTTCTATTCACCAAAGGGTCCTAGAAAAAAAATTGTATCAATGACGTTTCCGCGAAAATATTAAGCTGCACAACTCTTTTCAATATTGTTAATAATAAGAAATGTTTCTTGAGCAGCAAATCAGCATATTAGAATAATTTCTGAAGTATCATGTGACTGGAGTAATGATGCTGAAAATTCAGCTTTGCATCACTAGAATAAATTATAAAATATATTAAAATAGAAAAGGGTTATTTGAAACTGTAACAATTTTTCACTGTATTTTTTATCAAATAAATGCAGCCTTGGTCAGCATAAGAGACATTTGAACGGCAGTGTTCCCTAAATTACGGTCATCATGATATATTTGTTAATTATTCAGATGGTGATCAGAGCATGGACACAGTCAGTTTGCAGGCTGTGACTTTATCAGATGGCTCCACTGCATATATACCTCACAACCCTCAAGGTATGTCTATTACGAGTTCTGAGCACAAACATTGTTCACCTGAGACACTTTGAGATATAAAGCAGCATCACCTTCTATAAGACACAAATAAGCATAATGATGATTACCAAATTTTATTTCATTATTTTTTTAATTATTTTTTTGGTTATTATTAAGCACATTCTTTCTACATTTTCTATCAAACATTTGCATGTATGTGATTTGAAGAACAGTAATGTGTTCTCCGGGAATCAAACCCATTACCTTTTCAATTAGTTAAGATACAGGACCTTACAATTATTTGTTTTAGTTTTTTTACTTAGTGTGTGTATATATATTAGATAAACCTGGCTAGTACTGGGTTGGAGCCCCTTCTACCTTAATTATTTGTGGCATAGATTCAACATGGTGTTTGCTTATCATCTAATCCATCCAGAACTTAATATGTGGCCTTGTTAGGAGATGATCAACAATATTCGCTTCACCTGTGACTGGTTATAATGTTTTGGATCATCAGTTGATATATAATAAATAAAATCTTTCCTCAAAAAAACGGTTTATTGAAAGTGACCAGGAAGCTTTATAAACAAATCAATGTTGTGCATGTTTTTACTTTCCCATAAATTACTACCATGGAACTTTCTTTTTTAAATCTCATATTTATTCACATGGTATTTTTATTTTATATGAGTCAGGTATTAACTGAGTGCTGGTTGTTTTCCCCCAGAAGGCAATCTAGTTGAAGGACAGGTGATCCAGTTAGAAGATGGATCCTCTGCTTACGTGCAACACATTGCTGTTCCAAAAGCAGGTACTTTCCTCCATGTTAGTTTCATTGGAAGTGATCTAGCTTTTATTATTTTATGATCGTGCGGACTAATGATGTTAATATGCAAATAATTTTAATTTTCCATATTATATGCTCACTAGATGAGCCAAATAACTGGACGGCCTCGTCTGTATGTGATGTTGTTGGTAACGAAAGCTTGCGACTGGAAGATGCTCAGACTGTCCAGTTGGAAGATGGAACGACTGCTTACATCCACCACACCACAAAAGGTTTTTCATTTACTCCCGTTTTTGTTGCACTCTTAAAAGAATAAGTTCTATATAGAACCTTAAATTGCCCCTTTTATGCTATTTTAAAGGTTCCTAATTTGTTTTGGAGCTCTCCATGCATCAAAAGTATATATAAAAAAAACTTTAATTTTTCTCATAATATGCAAAGTATTATGCAATCATTTAAGACATTTTTCCTTTTATAGAACCTTTCTGGCATAAAGGGTTCTTTTAAATTGAGTCAAGAACCCCACTGCACCTTTTTTTCTAAGAGTGTGTGCAGGATGTTAAATAGGATTTGGTTGTAGCCTACGTGCTTTTGTATATATATATATTTTTTTTTTTGTGTGTGTGTGTCATTAATGCATTTTCAGATACATATGAACCCAGTACCCTGCAGGCGGTCCAGTTAGAGGACGGGTCTACCGCTTACATCCATCATGCTGTTCAGGTGTCTCAGCCTAACACCATTCTGGCCATCCAGACAAATGGCACAGTAGCAGATTTGCAGACAGATACATCCATTGACCAAGAAACAATCAATGCATTGGAGCAATACACAACCAAGGTACCCTTTAAAGATAACAAGGGCTAATGCAAAGACACTCACAGTGTATTTAGCACGACTTTGCTGGTGATATAAAATTAGGTGACGTTGTTATATATTGTAAATGTTTTTTTTTAGCTAATCATTTGTCAAAATTGGTAAGAAAATGATTTTTGTAAAGTGTAATGATCACTTTTGAATTCTTTCCTGTAGATTGAGGAAATGGACTCGTACACAAACTCTGAGCTGATCACCAATGATCCTCACGGGGTTGTGGAGATGCAGGTTAGAATATAATATCCATGCAAAATACAAATATCAATAGTCAAACTAAGAGATGCTCAAAAATATTTATCCTCCCTCCCTATAGATCGTACTTCAGGGTCAAGAAATCCGGCGTAGTGTGCCTGGGGAGAAATGTTTTCGGTGTAATTATGAAGGATGTGGAAAGCTTTACACCACTGCAAATCATCTTAAGGTTATTATGGCTTGTGTATTTGAGCTTATCAGCTTGTAATTCACCATAGACAACATTACAAATGTAATGCATTATGATTATTTTCTCGTGTTTTGTTTTGTCAGGTACATGAAAGAGCGCATACAGGTGACAAGCCGTACTGTTGTGACATACCTGGCTGTGGAAAAAAGTTTGCAACAGGTAACAAAAAGATTTACAGATCAATTTGTCACCTCAGCAGGGGGGGTTTGTGTCCTATTCAGCAAGGATGCATTAAATTCGCAGACAAGTTAAGACATTTGTAATGTAAGAAAAGATTTTTATTTAAAAGGAAAACCTGTTCTTTTGAACTTTCTATTAATCAAATAATCCTGATGAATCTCTTTTTCAACATTTGATAATAATAAATGTTACTTGAGCAGCAAATCAGCATATTAGAATGATTTCTGAAGGATCACGTGACACTGAAGACTGGAGTAATGATGCTGAAAATTCAGCTTTAATCACAGGAATAAATTACATTTTAAGATTGTAACACAGTTTGTTGTCATGGGAAGAAAGACGCGGGAACCGGCGAACATTTAAAGACTTTAATAATAAAATAAACAAATACAAAATGAAAGTAAAGACAGCAGCCCCTCACGGATGACTGCTGTCACATATAACAAAACACAACATAAATCCAGGCCTGGCCTCTCTCGATCTCCACTGTCGTCGCTCCTCCTTTTATGCTTCCGCTCTTCCGTGAGAGATACGAGACCGGAGCGTCGCACAGGTGTCGCTCATCAGTAATCACGGCCCTTTACCTCGTCCTGCTCGCCACAAAGATATATTACAATAGAAACCAGTTATTTAAAAGGGTACACTGTAACTTTTTTTTTTGTGCAAAATGATTTTTTTTTTTAAAGAGTCAATACATGTGTTTTTGTCTTACCCTGATTCACTATGGTTAGTCTATTATTAGTGTTTATATTTTAGACTGTAAAATTACTTTACTTTAGTTAGTTGTCACAATGAGTGAGAAATCTCGAACCTCCGGGGAATCTCCCGTTTTAAACAAACGCCGAACAGAAGAAAAAGTCTGCTGGCAAAAAGAAAACGCGACAGAGCTCGTAATAAAACAAGAATCAACATCGGCTTTGCTCTTCGGAGATGGCGAGAACTGAGGGATTTGAAAAGTGATGTGAAGATGGCGTTTTTATTACTTAATGGGTTAGTAAGGTATTTTATTGAACAGATAATTTGCCATATGCAGCGCTCTAACAGAGTTCATTGTAAAGCATTATCTATTTTGAAGGGTCATTTCATTCTGGTTGTTGTTGCGTTGTGCTGGAATATATTTTCAAGGAAGTACCGTGTCTGTTAATGGGTAGATACAGTAACGTCTTCAGTTTGTCAGCTTGAGATCCTTTCCATCTAAACTGGTTATATCTCTTAAAGGGGTCATATAATGCCATTTTTGTACAAGCTAGTATGATTCTTTAGGGTCTAAATTAAAAGTTTGTAATATACTTTAATTAAAAATTCTCATTAGTATTGTAAGAAAACACTTATTTTACCTGGTCAATAACAGCTCTGTTTTCAGCACGCCGTTTCAGTGCATATGACTTTAAATGATAATGAGCTTTGCTCACCCCGCCTCTCTGTTCTGTGCGTACACCATTTGTAACTCAACAACACAATAACCATAACGCATTGTTCAGTATTAACGTGGGATTATGAATTATATTGAGAACGTCATACATAGAAAACATGCCGTAATGTACCCTGAGTGTAAACCTTAGACGCATTCATTGTGAAGCGTGCAGCTAGCGATTTGCAAAGATTAATATAATAATATAGTTTAATAAAACGTTACACTCACTTCAGTTCTTCTAGAGGTTCAGCAGGAACACGAATATCTGGTACCGATCCTTTTTTCATGAGCAGCTTCTTAGCAAATCCAGCTTTATACTGACCCTTGTTTATAAAGCAGTCTGGTGAGAAATGATTCGCGCAAACATGAGAGCATTGACGTTGCTCGTGGGGAATATTCCCTTCGAAAACAAACTCAGCCACTGCGTCTTCAGCGGTTCGGATTTAGGAACATTAAAATGACTGCTGTGTTCGTTATTACACCCAAGAACAGAACACCACAATCGCTTAGACGCCATTCTGCTCATAGACAGTGCTCCAGCATATCAACAATGACCACGCCGATCCGCGCGGACTATGATTGACAGCTGGCTCACGAGCGAGGGCGGGTCTGTGTTGAAACGCTCCTGTCAATCAACAATCGCGGGAGGGGCTTCCGAGCGTGTGAAGTCACACGGTCGAACGGCTCGATTTGAGGCAGGGGAAAACATATAAGGAGATTAAAACAAAAACACTGGATGGATTTTTATCATTTTATGATGGTTGTGTACAGACACTGCCAACACACATTTCAGTACAATCAACTTGTAAAAGTGCATGTTCCATTATATGACCCGTTTAAGCCTAGTAGTGGATGTTTTATGAGCAGCAGGAGAACAATATTCATCCGCAGAGCCGAAGCACAACAAAACAATGTTCTGCAGCAAAAGGCATGCACCTTTAAATTGTAATAATTTGTTCACAAAATTACACTTACTGCATTTTCAATCACATAAATGTATTAAAAATAAATAAAAAATCTTACCGGCCCCCAACTTTTCAAAGAGCGTTTCTTTTTTTACGTATTTGCTGTGTTATATATTCATCCCTTGTCATTCTTTTTCTATAAGGTTACGGTTTGAAAAGTCACATCAGGACACACACTGGAGAAAAACCTTACCGCTGTCAGGAGTTGGACTGTAAAAAATCTTTCAAGACCTCAGGGGACCTTCAAAAGCACACCAGAATTCACACAGGTACTTTCTTTGCCTTCTTAAAATCTTACATCTATTCCTTGGATTATTGTATTCATTATATGATCTTAATATGAATATAGTTATCACACAGCACTCAGTTAAAAATACCATGGTATTGAATAGTAGACAAAAAAGCTGCATGCATAAGAATTGTACAAGAATAAAATCGATGTTTCATATAGTCACTCTCGGGCGGAAACCTTGTCCATTTTCGTCCATTTTTCGCCATTTTCATAAATCATTACTATTGGTCACCATTTATGTCTTTCTGTGGGTTTTTGTAAATGTCTAACCAATGAAAAGTATTAAAAACAGCTTTCGACTAAACCCTGTAACTCCATTGGCTCCTCAAACTGTCAGTTAAACCTCATAACTGATAACTCTATCGTGAATGAAGCGTTGTACGCAGTTTGGACCGTTTCTGCTTGTTTGCAATGCAAGGCTAAACAAAGAACTGGTTCTTTGAATAAGTTCAGCGTTTTCTTTACTCAAGAAACACTATATATAAAGGCTAATGTTTTATGTATTTGAGGAGTGGAGAAGAGTCTAGCATTTTTTGTCGAGTCAAAGCCAACAATACTGACCTGTGCGAAGCACTTCTTCTTTAATAACATGGGATTTTGGTCAAATGACAGAAAAAACTGAGCGCCCACATAGCTACATTAACTTTATAACCTGTAAGTTGATGAAAACGTATTACTGCCTAATATGTTTACGGTATTATTTGGCCGTTCTAATGACGGACAAAACACATGTCCGAAATTTGCTGGTCAAAAACCTTAAACTCCACATGAGCTTGATTTTGGTAAAATGTTAATAATACAATGACATTTAAAGCCACAGTATCAACTTTGACTGCGTGGTGTTTAATTATTTTTAAAATATGTTGTTTTTTTCCATTTCCTGAAAACTAAGTAGCGTTTTTGGACATACAAGGTTTCTGCCCAACAGCGACGATATGCAGATTTGTCATATTATCAGCCTTATTACCAATGTGATAACACTACACATACCACCACATTACTTGGGCTCCTACCAATGACCTCTGTTCTTTTAAGGAGAGAAGCCATTTTTATGTCCTTTCCCGGGCTGTGGACGATCCTTCACTACCTCAAACATCTGTAAGGTCCATGTTCGCACACACACAGGAGAGAAACCGTATCACTGCCCAGAACCAGGCTGTAATCGGGCCTTTGCCAGCGCAACAAATTACAAGAACCACATACGGATCCATACAGGTATGCTGCTTTTTAGCCTTAAAGGGGTTGTTCACCTAGAAATTAAAATGGCCATCCTTTTACTCGTTCCAGACCTGTATGACTTACTTTCTTTACGTGGATCTCAAAAGGAGAAATTTTGAGTGACGTGCTGATTCTCAAACAAAGCTATCGTATGAATTCAAGAAGACTTCGAGTATAGAGCATGACCACTTTCATGGCGGTGCTTGTCATTTTGGAGCTTGTCAACTCCAGTCCTCATTCCCTTTATTGTATTAAAATGATAGTTTAGCCAAAAATAAAAATGCTTTAATCATTTACGCTACTCAAAACATGAATGACTTTGTTTCTTCTGTGGAACATAAAAAAACGATACTTTGGTAAAACCTCACAATAAGGTTCAATTTGTTAACGCTGGTCAGTTAATATAAGCTAACAAAGAAAAATGTGGTAACACTTAATTTTAAGATGACATAGTTACACGTGGTACATGTACTTACAATAGTAATAAAAGTAAATTATGCATAATTACAAATAAATAACCCTAACCCTATAGTATTTACATGTAATTAAGTAATATTACACAGTACTCATTTGTGTAATTACACTGTAACAACACCACCTTATAATAAAGTGTAACAAAAATACTTTTAAAGCATTTATTAATCTTAGTTAATGTTAATTTCAACTATTACTAATAGGTTATTATGCTCAAAAAATGTATTTGTTAATATTATTTAATGGACCCGAGCAAGCATGAACTAACAATGAACATTTGTATTTCATTAACTAATGTTAACAAAGACTTATAAATATAATGATAAATGTATTGCTCATGGTCAATGTTAGTTAATTCATTAACTAATGTTAACTGATGGGCTCTTATTGTAAAGTGTTACCAATATATTAAGAAGTGTCTCAGTGGTTTTTGGAGTGACACGAGAGTAAGTAAATAGTGACAAAACTGTCATTTTGGGAGAACTATCTCTTTAAGTATCCAAAAATTCACCAAAAGAAAGAAAGCAAGTCATATGGAAATGGGAAGACATGAGGGGGAGTAAATAATGGCAGAATTTCCATTTTGGGTGGACTATTTGTTTGAACTCTTTCTTTATAATATGTAATCTAACCTAAATGTAACTGTGAATGCAACTCTTGTGAAACATCTAAACCAGTGTCTTTTTTAACATGCAGGAGAGAGGCCGTATGTTTGCACAGTTCCTGGATGTGACAAGCGATTCACCGAGTACTCGAGTCTATACAAACATAATGTAGTGCACACTCCCTGTAAACCCTACAAGTGCAACCACTGTGGAAAGACGTACAAGCAGATTTCCACACTAGTCATGCACAAACGTACAGCACACAATGACTCTGAGCCTATAGAAGAGGAGTCGGAGGGCTATTTTGAACCCCCTTCAGGTTGGTTCTAAAAAATATCTAGTATATCCTAGATACAGATGAGATTTTGATGATGTTTCATGAGTGGAACTGGGCTGTTTTTTGCTTTTAGAGGCTATAGATGACCCCTCCATGAGTGTTAGCCCTGTGAAGTGTGAAGACACTTGTCCTGAAATGGCTTCTGAAGTCTCTGATGTCACGGAACAACAGCATGTAACTTTTATCACACAAGATGGAGCATCACAGGTTTGCATCTAAAGTTTCTCAGAAGATCTACATGTTTTTATATTAAGTGTTTTGAGTCTTTTTGGTTATGGTTTCGACTACCAATTAAAGTGTGGTACTCTGTTTAACAGGATAGAAAAAAGTCAGCAGATTCTTATACTGTAAGCTAAAAAGGTCATTTGAACGGCTGGTGACAATAGAGACTGACTACAAATTTAGTCAGGTGACTTTTCAGACCTTGTCCTTAAACTTGGCAATTTTCAAAACGATGTGAAATCATTTCCATCAGTGCTGGGTAGATTACTTACAAATTGTAGTCCACTACTGAATACAAATTACATGATGAAAATTTTATTTAGTGATCTATTATATAATCGTAATCTATTACATTACACATTTTAAGTAATATAATCTAACTACTTTTTGATTACTTTTAGATTACCTTTGACCTAACTCGTTTATCGCATTGATTTGAATAGGATAATCTTGTACCATATTCATATAAAAAATTCAAAGAGAAAGAATATGTATTCCATTTTTTTTCCGTTATAAACAATATAAAGTGCATTAAACATTACAATATGTCAGGGTTTCCCAAACTAGGGGTTATAAAGGAACTGCAAGGGGTTAGTAAATTAATGAATGAATCATAAAAATTATCAAATTCAAATATATTTAATTTTTTTTTCTTTTTTTTGTGATTTTAACAGGCTATTGGAAATACAATCACAATGGTAACACAAGATGGCAGTATGATCACCTTCCCACCCACTGAGTCTTTGCTGTCTTCAGGAGAGGCTCATTCAGTGACTATGGTCTCAGAGGACGGGACTGAAGGACAGGTGTGTAGGATTTTGGAGTGTTTGAGAACCAAGTTCTTTCATGTGTGTGGTTTTCATTTCCAGCAAACACATAAAAGGTTCTTTCCAAATTATCACAAGACTATATCCTGCCCAATGCTGATCTGTGTGCATATAGAGTGCTGCAGTGATGTTTTTTTTAGGCCAACCTGGAAGTTAGCATGGATAGCAATCCAAGTTAGCATGGAAGTCAACAGGATTTTTCCATTGGCTTTTGGATTATCGCAGAAAATAAGCTTTGTGACCAACAAAAGTTTATGGCTCTTACATGTTTTGTTCACAAATTAATACAACTTGAAGCGTCAAAAGCAAAACGTAGGCTATAAACGAACTACACCAAGGTCACATGACTTCACTAAGCTTTCGACAACTATTTCAGGCTTTATTTAAAAAAACAAAAAAATCCTAAAAGTTTGAGTTAGAATAGTTTGCAAGAGCGTGATTATAAACACAATAAGGCTTTGAAAGTGGACTAGTGAGTAAATGAGTTTACTTGTTCGGCCTGAGTACCTCTGTGGTCCCATTTAGCCACTTGTTAGCAACCGCATTTTTCAAGACAAGTAAAAGTTTTAAAAATCACAAAGGGACATTACTGATGTATTTTATGTTGTTGAATGAAACTTGAATATATCTTAGTATCACCACACTAAAAACCCATTAAAAAAACCATTGAATCAGGACGATGGAACTAGAACTGCTAAAATGCTAACTCTTTTACAGGTTTTGGCCCACTATAATACAACATCACCCCTGCAGCACTCTATAAACTGATCATAGGAAATATTTTTATGTATTTTTTTCTGTTTTCTTCAGATGACTATTATGATGCCAGATTTAACATCTTGCAGGAACATACAGGATGGGTTATCAGCACACCCAATTACACTTCTGGCTACTTCTAACGGCACACAGATTGCTGTTCAGGTAGAATAAGGCTGGAATACACTACATGACTTTTGCCCAGAGTTTTGCCTGATTTACAATTGGAGGAGTTGACCAATTTCACGGGAAATCGTATATGATAGCCACAGACCACGATTTTTTAGGTTCAGACTTTGATTTCATCCAGTCGGAGAATATCAAACATGTTCGATATTGTGATTGTCCACGTTGGTCGGTGTCTAAATTCAATGAATTTAGACACCGACCAACGTGGACGATCAACAGATTTTAGTACATAACTTCTCAGACTTTCCACATCCCGGCAAATGGTAATTGAACATGTTTAATTGGCGAAAACAATCGACCAGCGCCAGCAGACGCCGACACACTGATCTGGCAAAACCCGATGAAGTGTCTGGTGGCGTTGGTCTTGGCTGTCGGTGCAGTGTGAATTAGCCTTTAGTTGTGTTTGGAACAAAAGTCCGGTAACCATTTACAAAGTTGGCAAGTTTATGATCCCTAGTATTTTTAAGAATCATACAGACTGCGTCCAAAAGCTGTTACATCCGGTCTACTGAGATACCTGATTTTTGAAGGTAGCATAGATACACTGATGAGCCAAAACATTATGACCAGTCACAGATGAGGCTAATATTGTTGATCATCTCCTAACAAGGCTATTAAGGTCTGGGTGGATTAGATGGCAAGCAAACAATCAGTTCTTGTAATCAACGTGTTGGATGCAGGAGAAATAGGCCGGGATAAAGATCTGAGCGACTTTGACAAGGCCCAAATTGTTATGGCAAGGCGACTTGGTCAGAGTATCTCTGAAATGGCAAGACTTGTGGTCAGCAGTGGTGAAAATCTACCAACAGTGATCCGATGAGAGACAAACCAGAAACCGGCGACAGGGTGTTGGGCGCTCAAGGCTCATCGATGCACAAAGGTCCGAGTCGACAGAAGGTCTACTGTGGCACACGTCACACAAATGTTTAATGATGGTAATGGGAGGAATGTGTCACAACACAAGTGGCCTCTTTCAGCAGGATAACGCACACTGCATACATTGTTCAGGAATGGTTTAAGGAACATGATGAAGAGTTCAAGATGTTGCCCTTGTCTTCAAATTCCCCAAATCTCAATCCAATTGAGCATCTGTGAGATATGCTGGACCAACAATTTCGATCCACGGTGGCTCCACCTCGCAACTTCAGAACTTGAAGGATCTTCTTCTGACTTCTTGATGCTGGAGACCACAGGGCATCTTCAGGGCTCTTGTAGAGTCCATGCCCAAGGTTTGTCAGCGCTGTTTTGACAGCACAAGGAGGACCAACAGCATATTAGACAGGTGGTCATACTGTTTTGGCTCATCTGTGTACGTCACACTATGATTTCCCACTATCCTGTGCATTCAATTCCCTGACAGTTGAGCTGAAGGAAACAAATTGAGTCTGAAAGTTGTGGTTGTTGGTTCCAGCCTCAAGTCTGGCCTAGTTTAGATGATTTCACTCGCTTTTATTTTTGCAATGCTAGTTTTGACCTTTATCTTTAACTGTATGGCTGGGAATATTGATGTATTATTGAACATAGGTGTTGTATTCTATCTTGTAGCTCAACGAACAGACTTCACTGGAAGAGGCTCTGAGGATAGCATCGTCATTACAGGGAGGAGAAACTGCAGGACTGGCCAATTAACTACCTTCACCGTCAGTATTCAGTGTAACTAGTGATTCCAATGATGAACAAATGATGAACTTTTGTAATCACCCTTTCACCACAATTGTACAGAGGTTACACTGTGCACTATGAAAACATTTTTAACAGATTTTGTTCACAATGATATAGATATCTAAAAGGTGGAAACCTGTTTGCATTTTTTAAATAAAAAGAGATGAAGGGGATGTTTAGTGTGTCGTGATGATTTATCATTTATGACATTGATTTGACTCCAAATGTTCTTTCTTCCCTTGAAGAGCACAAGGTTTGTGCCATTATGTCATTAAAGCAACATACCTAATGCAAATAATAAATTTTTCATATGTAAAAGTGTTACCCAAGTGTTATGTTGATATGTATAGTAATAATAAAACTATTTTGTAGTAAATTAGAAAATGTAAAACAAGCATTTTTTACTAGTTGTCTCATATATATATATATATATATATATATATATATATATATATATATATATATATATATATATACAGATGAAACTCAAAAAATTAGAATATCGTTCAAAAGTTATAATTTAGATGATTATGGCTTACAGCTTATGAAAACCCCAAATTAAAAATCTCAGAAAATTAAAATATTACATGAAATCAATTAAAAAAAGGATTCTAAATACAGACATGTCGGCCCTCTGAAAAGTATAATCATGCATATGTACAGCGCCGCCGCTCCCACCACGCGCATCACGCGCTGTGCGTAGGGCACCAAGTGCTGAGGGGGCACCAAAAATAGCCTAATGAAAAACCAATCATCAAACTTCTTGTTATAATCAGATTCAGCGCGTTCTTCCTCTTCATTCCGCAGCGGCGCCGAGCAGAGACAGAGAGCACGTCAGAAACACAGGACAGGGTGTGTGTGTGTGTGTGTGTGTGTGTGTGATGTGTTCATGTGTGTGTTCATCATTGGTCTGTCACTGCTCGTCAATGTCAGAATATTTGAGATGACCAATCAAATCAAAGTAGGCGGGCTTTATGTTCACAGACGCTGAGCGCGAATTTTAACAGTGCAACTCGACGCTTCAGTGTACGGTCAAGTGCGAGATAAGATGTAAGTAGCTAAACTTAACTTTATTTGACAGTTTTTTTTTTAGGTCATAAATGTTAAACGAATGACAAAAAATAATTAGGCAAACTAATATAGTTTTGTCTAATTTCGCCATTTTGAACTGAAAATAGGCCTATATGTAACATGTAGCCTAGTGTAATAGTTTAGGCTACTGTCATTGTGAGGGGACAAGAAACATGAACAAAGCCGTTTTCATCATGTTAGGCACAGGATTTATAATGAATGTGTACATATTGAGAATAAAATACAAATTGTAACCTTTAGTAAATTAAAAAAGCCAACTTTAGGAGGGGAAGAGACAGGGCAAGATAAAAACAAAGAGAAAAAGAGTGTGATGCTGATGAGGAGAGAAAAATAATCAGCTGCCCACTGACATAGTTTTAAAGCTGTTATCGAATTTTTTTTTTTTTTGCCTTCACAACATCTTTAAAATGCACATCTGTAGTTCAGAAAAATCCCACATTTCCCCCGAACACCCCTAACTAACCTGCCTCAAATTCGGGATCCCAGTGATTATAAAACCATGCCATTGCATGGTAATGAAACTAGTTAATAGTAAGCATTAGACCCTAATCTAAAGTGTTACTTTTTAGCTTTTTAATTTTTTTATAAATCATACCCTCATTGGGGGCTTAGCCCCCCTAAATGAAAATCCTAAATAAAAATGTTTTTTTTTTTTAGGGGGGGCGGGGGGACATCATAAAGGAATTATGCTTAGGGCACCAAAATGGCTAGCAGCGGCACTGCATATGTATGTAGTTATATATACTAAATATATTAGTTTCACCTTTTAATTTGAATTACTGAAATACATGAACAGTTGCACGATATTCTAATTTTTCGAGTTTCACCTATATACAGTATATAAGGCCAAATTGTTAAAAAAATATATCTTTTTGGGGGGCAAAAAATAGTTTTGACAGATGAAAAAGTAAAGGCAGCAGTGAAGTTGGGCAATAGCTAATCATCCATACAGTCTTTCAAGACTGGTGGAGGCAGGACTTTTAATTTCACCAAGCAATGCATACATAATGCATGTTTAATGAGGAACTGTCATGTCAAGTTGAAAGGGAATGAATTGGTAAAATTTTTTATATTTAAATGTTGTGCAAACTGCAAAACATATTCATGTTCACAGCTTTTGTTTACAATTTACTTGCAGTTACTACAAAAAAAAATTAGCTTGTTTATCTAGAAGAAACATGGTTAAGAAACGGCCTGTGTGATTGAAATTGTATTGTAGTCCGTACTGTAAAACTGAAGATTTTGAAAATGAAATCACTGGAAAGCAATGCAGTCTGTAGAACTTGTTTGTTAGATGACTCAAGGCCAAAACACTATCGGCGGATTCTTAGCACTTGAAATTCTTTTTGTGAAACATTAGAACTTCCCGCTCGTACTCTTCTGACTTCATTCCTATGGTTGTTTCTGGTATGGGTTATTTACAACAAGACCTGTTTTTCAGGGCTATAAGTAGAAGTAGTGTTTCCCCAGCATGAGCTAGTTGCTTTGGCATTTTCTGCCTGTGAATGTGGTGAGGACAATCCAGGAAAGTGTTTTTAGATGTTTTAAATTACACATGGCTTGATACATCTGACACTTCTTCTTTAATTCCTTTTTAAAGATTACAGTGAATGCAGAGCACTACAAGACTTAATTCACTTTTTATTTGTTGTAGGTTGCAGTTTTTATATAGCTCTTTTTGCTCTGGGGAGATGAGATGATTCAGCAGTCCATTCCTAAAAAATAAACTAAGTATTTTCCTTTGGATAAAGTAGGCTATACACATTTATATTTTTTCCACACACACCAGGTATATACGTTTCAGCAGTTTTGCAAACAATTCGGTTGCCATAAGATTGCGTACTCTGATAGCACATGTAGGCCTACATCAAGGAGACGTCTGCATTTACATTTGCAAGATGTATTTTTTAGAATGTTTGCTCATCTGCAATATGTCTCTAAGATGTTTCCTGTCAGATGTTAAATAGACATTTAGAAAACGTCTTTAAGATGTTTATGATTTAGTCAAGTCATCTTCATTTATATAGTGCTTTTAACAATGGAGATTGTTTCAAAGCAGCTTTACAGAGATAAACATACAATTTACGGTAACAGAGATTGTATTGGCTTTATAGCGATTTTTGAATAATGTTATTTCGGCTAAAGTTGGTTTTGATTGATTCACTTCCAGCAAAATTATCATTTGTTATTACATTAGGGGCCACTTAGACGACGGCGTTCTCTCTAAACAGACTTTAAACGCGAACCTGTGACCTGATGGCGTTCACATGCGCATTAAAAATTGATTCTATAGTTATATTTGTTTGAATATGTGTGCGCAGGTTTGTAATTTCCCTACAAACCATGCCTAAACAAACTACTTGTCTTGCCTATAAATTTGATACAGAATTTTATTTTATCACTTTGGGGTACGCAAACCGGATTTTCAACAACACTTTATCTGCAGAGTGGGAAAGGGATCCTCCATAGGGAGAGGATAGTTGACACTTCAGCACTGCATTGTCATCGGGTCCAGGCGAATCTCCTTCGTCAGATCTGGATACGGCCTGGATCCGGCAGGCTGCAGGAAAACCTCGGGACAAAGACACTAAAGTTAGCGTAGATGCCATATGATGAAACGAGTACATCAGGATTTAAGGGAAGTGTTCCCAGTTCCGGCTGACCTAATCTATGCACCCTAACATTGAATTATCGAAGTCTATAATGTATTATGTGTATGCTAGGTCAAAGAGATGTGTTTTTAGTCTAGCTTTGAACTGACAGAGTGTGTCTGCTTCCCAGACAATGGTAGGAAGACTGTTCCAAAGTTTTGGTGCTAAATAGGAAAAGGATCTCCCGCCAGCAGTCGATTTAGATATTCTAGGTATTATCAACTGGCCGGAATTTTGAGATCGCAATAGACGTGAAGGACTATAATGCGTTAAAAGCTCACTCAGGTACTGCGGAGCTAAACCATTTAGTGCTTTGTAAGTAATCAACAATATTTTAAAATGTATACGATGTTTAATAGGCAGCCAATGCAGTGTTGACAGAACCGGACTAATATGGTCATATTTCCTGGTTCTGGTAAGAACTCGAGCTGCTGCGTTTTGAACTAGCTGTAGTTTATTTATTAAGCGTGCAGGGCAACCACCCAGTAGAGCATTACAATAATCTAGCCTTGATGTCATGAACGCATGAACTAATTGTTCTGCATTTGTTAATGAGAGCATATGGCGTAATTTAGATATGTTTTTAAGATGGAAAAATGCGGTTTTACAGATACTAGACACGTGACTTTCAAATGAGAGATTGGTATCAAAGAGCACACCCAGGTTCCTAACCGACGACGAAGACTTGACAGAGCAGCCATCAAGTGTTAGACAGTATTCTAGGTTATTACGTGTGGAAGTTTTTTGTCCAATAATTAGAATCTCTGTTTTTTCAGAATTTAGTAGTAGGAAATTACTAGTCATCCAATTTTTTATATCGGCTATGCATTCCGTTAATTTTGTGAATTGGTAAGTTTCGTCAGGGCGTGAAGAAATATACAGCTGAGTATCATCGGCATAACAGTGAAAACTAATTCCATGTTCCCTAATGATATCTCCTAAGGGTAGCATGTACAGAGTGAACAGCAGCGGTCCTAGTACTGAGCCTTGTGGTACGCCATACTGAACTTGTGATCGAAAAGACATCTTCATTTATTGCTACAAACTGATAACGGCCAGATGAGTATGATTTAAACCATGCTAGTGCAACTCCACTAATGCCAACATAATTTTCGAGTCTATTTAAAAGAATGTTGTGGTCAATAGTATCAAATGCAGCACTAAGATCAAGTAACACTAATAGAGAGATACAACCACGATCGGATGATAAGAGCAAATCATTTGTGACTCTAATGAGAGCGGTCTCAGTGCTATGGTACGGTCTGAATCCTGACCGAAAATCCTCGCAGATATCATTTCTTTCTAGAAAGGAACACAGTTGTGAGGATACTGCTTTTTCTAATATCTTTGATAGAAAAGCCAGATTCGAGATCGGCCTGTAATTGACTAATTTTGTATGATCAAGTTGCGGTTTTTTAACAAGCGGTTTTATCATAGCCAGCTTAAATGTTTTTGGTACGTATCCTAGTGACAAAGATGAATTAATGATATTGAGAAGAGGATCTATGACATCTGGAAACATCTCATTCAGTAGCTTAGTCGGTATAGGGTCTAACATACATGTTGTCGATTTAGATGATTTAACAAGTTTAGAAAATTCGTCCTCTCCCATGGCAACAAATGAATCAAATTTTTCCACATGGAGACTATGCACTGTCTGATGAGATACTGTGGTAGACGGTTGCATAGTTATAATTTTGTCCCTGATATTATCGATCTTATAAGTGAAGATCTTATAAGTGATTTAGAGTGTATAACTGCTTGTTCTAAGACGTTTATCAGATGTTTGTACACAAAAGATGTTTTCCAGATAAAGTGCTCTTTAGCAGACATATTAGAGACGTACCTGTGCTATGTATGTCATAATGTGGCATAAAGAGGCTAAATTGAAGTCTTCTGAGGAGGTAACCACCCTGATAGCACACATCTCTGAGACGTCTATTTGATGTGCCTGTTTTCATCTCCAAGATGTATTTTTTTTACACCAAGGAGACGTCTGCATTTACATTTGCAAGATGTATTTTTTAGAATGTTTGCTCATCTGCAAAATGTCTCTAAGATGTTTCCTGGCAGATGTTAAATATACATTTAGCAAACGTCTTTAAGATGTTTATGAAACTGACTTTTTTTAAAGATGTTTATCAGATGTTTGTACAGCAGATGTTTTCCAGATGAACTGCTCTTTACCAGACATCTTGGACACGTACGTGTGCTATCTGGGCATGGCAAAGTTTCACTTATCGACCCCGTTTCATTATGAAAAATATTGTGCAGTATCATAGCTGTCAATCAATTTGTTTTTGATTTACAATATATCACAAAGGACCTTAAGATAAGTTGATGGTCTTGTATGGATAGATATTAATTTCAAGGTTCGGTCACACTTTGTGTTCATATTGTATTGCAAAACAATTTTTACTGCGGTTGATGTAGGATATGGGTAAGGTTAAGGACATGCAGGTTTGGTGGTGGAATGGGTAGGTTTAAGGGTGGATTAAGGTGTAAAGGAAGTGTCAACAGTGTAATTATGTAATTACATAAATTAATTACTGTAATTAATGTTTTTTTTTTACAAATATAAGTAGCCTACCCTACATTACAATATAAAAACGTACACAATAATTGTATAATAATAATTATTGTGCATTGTATGAAATGATTAATTGAAATGCTACATAGTAGGCCTAGTTAAGATACTTTAAATAAAGTGGGACCAAAGGTTCGACTGAAATCATGAATAATCAGCACACATGGATAGTGTTTTTCTTTTCATAATATTTCCTGTTTTACATTTGTCTACGCCACTTTTATGTAGTAATGCCCACATAAAAATAAAATAAAAAAACTCGGTGCGTTATAAAAAAAACCCCAAAAGAAGACATAATTTCGGTTCTGTTTAGATTACAGTTTTAATTGTAGCCTATGTAAATATGTGAGATGTTGTAAAGCCGTGTTGGTCACATGACTCGTGCTCTGATGTTGCGCTGACTGACTGAGTGAAGAGGATTAGTTTTACACGCGCTGTCATCTTTCACTGAAGTTATAATGATATCCCGGGACGAAATACTCAAACCCATATGGTACGCCTTTACTGCTCTGGATGTAGACCGAAACGGGAAAGTATCCAAATCCCAGTTAAAGGTAAGCAATCCTTTTAAAAACTAGATCACAGCGCACGCACCTGTTAGTTTCCGTGTATCGAGACAGTCTTGTCCACTAAAAAAAATGTAGCCTAGGTTTGTCCATACAGAGGATTTAGCGTACTCATACGAGTTGTTTCAACTGTGTCTTCTACTTATTTATTGAAACAGACCTTATAATCAAAATAAAGTAAAAAATCAATTACACATCTGGTAGAGAATTTCTCTTAGCTGTTCTCTAACCAGTAAGATTATTCCGTTTCAATACCCTTTTTCAACACTACTGGCAGGTGCATTAACATTAGACCAATTGTTTTTCAAGATATTTGCAGAGTATAATGTTATATAATAAAAGAGAAAGAGAGGCACAGAATTCATTTGTTTACTAATTTTTTGAATAACGCTTGGTCGGTCTAGCAAGACTTTCATAAGGGTGTAACGTTATGCAGATAAGTTATATGTGCACTGAAGTGGAGAGACTGACTTTATCTTTATCATCTGGATGTTTTATCAACTTCATCAAAAAGTTTTGACTCTTATTCATTCTATGTTTTTCGATATCTTTTCACATTTTAGATCAACAATCAAATCAAATCAATAATGACTACTAAATAAAGCAGAACTGTCAAATAGCCTATTTGAGTTTCTTCAAATCTGGTGGACACTTGCAGCTGCTTTTTCTTCACTATCCACTCAGATTAAAACATATTGACTGATTTATTTTTTGAATAAATGTATACATTGGCACAATTTACATACGTCTAAAACGAATTCCAGGTATTTAAGTGTAAATTAGGGCTGTGCTCAGAATATCGATACGACGATACATCGTCATGAACTCCTGACGATGCGCGTATCGATACAGCAACTGCTGTATCGATACTGTAGTGCTTTTGAATGTAGCCCAGGGCTCGAATTTCAGCGCGGGATTGCAAGTATTACGCATTATTCTAACCATTCCCGCAGGTCTCCCACTTATAATGATTAATCCATACAGGTTATAACATCGAATTAGTCATTTTAAAATATTCGAGACACAATTTTACAAACAGCGTGACGTGAGTGTTCAGCTGTGCCGCGTCTTCTGTCTCTGTCTCTCAAAATGGGTTGCTCAAGGCAAGCGTCAAACGCGCTGAAGGCGGCGATACACTCTCGCTTTCGGGAGTTGGGACATGACGGAATATTCACTTGCATATTCGGGCGAGTATTGCATTGTCACTTAAGTTTACCATTCGCTCGTCTTTTTAAGTCTTACCACGCAAAACATTCAAGCGATTTTAAACTATTCAGTGCTCGCACGCTCTCTGAGAGATGGTTTTCTCTGCATGCATACATAGAGTAAAGCCGCCTCACAAACAGCCTGTGAGTAACAAAAGTTCTTTTTCACGGATTATATCGCTTTTACGGACAAAAACAAGCAAAATGATGTCAAAAATGTCAATCTTGGTGAGTATCTAATACAGTCGGTTAATGCATGTGACAGTATAATGAACACAGGATCCGTGCAGTAGCTCTTAAAGTGACAGCAGCCATGTGTGTCTGTCATTAATATTGTCGTCAAAACAACAAAAGATAGCTTTAATTATAAGGAATCTGGATTTATAGCCAATGTATTTAATTTAGTCAGGACTAAAATACTACCCAATGTTATTTTACATTTAATTACTTTAAGTGTCTGTAGTATTTCTGAATACTACTGCTAGACCTATTCAAAAACGTTTCTCTTTATTGGTAGGCTATATTTATTCTATTGTATTTATTTGTTTAAAATGATTTCAACGTAATGTAAAGAAATTACTTTGTTTGGTGCACATTCCAACACTTATTTAATTGAACTCTCATTGTTTTTTAATGACAAAAACAAAATAGTTTTTCAGTTATCACAACTGTTATAACACTGTTTATTCAATAAAGATATTACTGCTACTAAACTCTGCTCAAAAGAAATTTAAATTCCAAATTGATCCATATCGTGATACGTATCGTATCGTGGCTTTAGTATCGTGATGCGTATCGTATCGTGACATTGTTGGTGATACACAGCCCTAGTGTAAATAAGCATAAATTCAATCAGGTGTCTAAATTTGTGACCTCGCTTAAAGGGGCTATATGTAAGAATTTTCATGTAGTCATTTTTTTTTTCCAACGTGTGAACAGCTTGTTTCGCAACTTAATAAACAAGACCTTTTCCCACTTCCTAGGTTGTCTAAGCCTTTTTTTTTTTTTTTTGCAAAGGACTAGGGGCATTATTGCCGGAAAAATTTAAATAATGTGACCTTTACACGCACTCCCACTCTTCCATTCAATGACACGTGAAACAAATGCTTATACAATGTTCAGGATAATGCCGAATGCTACTCTTTATTATAATGTCAATGTGTCATGCAAAGAAAATGTATTAATTTAAACTATAGTCTCACCTTTTTTTTTTTACTTCTAAGCAAATAACGAACGATTCAGGGCCTTGAATCACAGGTGTGTTCCAAATGAAGAGGCACTGCGCAGACCGATCTCATGGTACTTTAAAGTAATACCCGGTCCGCGCAGCACGAGTGCATGCAGTTCACTTAATGGCCACTGGTGTCGCTAATAACAAGGGTTTCTGAATTCTACAAATAGCCCCTTTAATCCATTTTGCATAATGAAACCATTGCTGTCTGTCTCTCTGAAGGTGCTGTCTCACAACCTGTGCACCATACTGAAAGTCCCTCATAACATTTCAGCCTTGGAGGAGCACTTTAAAGATGATGATGAAGGACCAGTGTCAACACAAGGGTACATGCCCTACCTGAACAAGTTCATACTTAATAAGGTAACAAATACACTGTCTCTTATCAAAACATAGACTTTCCTCTCGCCAGACAAGCCTGTGTCTGTTTTAAGAACAGACGTTTATTATTTCCTCTGGAATAAGGCTACACATTATTTCTCATGAGTCATGACTCACATAGAGATATTCTTTTGTGTGTGTGTGTGTGTGTCTGCTTTTCTGTACAAAGACATTGGGTGGGGTCAAAAATCCGGGATGCAAAATCTAATTTAAATCTGGAAATTAAAAAGATGTATGATTGTATAGCCTACTATTTCTAATCAAATAGGTACATCTCTCACACTGATCATGTGACTCTTTGTATAGATTAATTGAAGCACAAGATGCTCTTTTGGATAGTTCTGCTGCTGGATAAAATGAACCTGTCAGAAATGCAAAAGGCCAACATACAAAATACCGAGGCTCAGAAATTCATGTGCATTTTTCAGTTCAACTGAAAATTTTATGCTGATAAAACCATTATAACTCTTAAAGGTGACTTAGTTACACGTACATCATAGTAATAACAGTAAACTATGCATAATTACAACCAACTAACCCTAAACCAAAACCTAACCCTAACATAAATAACATATAGTAAGTACATAATACAGTACTTATTTGTGTAATTACAGTTACCTAAAATAAAGTGTAACCAGTTTATAATGTAAAATATATTGATTTAGAAAACAATTCAGATGCAGAAGCATCTTCATTAGTGGTCTTAAACTTTTGGACCCCATATTTTTTAATTGATGAAGTTTTTCATCAATATTTAAAATTGGAAAAATTGTTTGTGAATACAAAAGAAGATTGACCCTAAAAGGGCAAAAAGACTGTAGGGAAGTCCATGTTCATGGGCCGTCACTTATGACTCACAGGGCATGAGACTTGTTACTCACATATTGATGTCTCCTGAAAATGGAAATAAAATGAATTTAAAGAGTCACTTCAGTGAGTGTTTAATATTGTAAACTTAGGCTACGTTCACACGGCAGGCTGAAATGACCCAATTCCGCCCTTATGCGACCTGTATCTGATCTTTTCATGACAGTCTGAACGACACAGATCCGATCTTTTCAAATCCGATATGTATCCGATCTTTTGAAATGCGACTTCAATCTGAACGGCCAGGTCACATGTATCCGACCCGCACGTCATTGATATGCGACAAACATCATAATTCTGCGTTGAAGTAGGTGGGAATTGACCGTTGAGTACTCTTCTGCGCATGCGGGTCACTTCTGGGTCATTTCACGTTCACACAGGAGATCACAAAAGGTCGAATTTAATTGGAAATGTGAACGGCCTTGCAAAAAAATCTAATTTTTAAAAAAAATCGGAATTGAGCATTAAGCCCCTGCAGTGTGAACGCAGCCTTAGTGTGAGATTTCATGCTGATTTAAAGTGAAATTGCTCTCAGTGGGCACAGCACTATGAGGTTTGCCAGTTAGTTACAATGTATGGTCTTCTAGTGTTATACTATTAACATGATATTTTAGCTGTGGGTTCAGTTTGCTGCTGATGATATATATATGTATATATATATATACATGCAGACAAATACATTCTTGCACAGCTATCTTTGTGAGTACATTCATTAATGTCCTAATAGTGAGGACACCCTAACCTTACCTATTAACACTAAGTTCCTAATCTGAACCCTTACCCTAAACCTACCCTTATCCCTAAAACCAAGTCTTGACCCTTAAACAGACCTTTAAAAGGATCACAGAAAGTAAGGACCGGCCAAAATGTCCTCACTTTACTCACTTTGTCCTCACTCTGATAGTCTACAAAGATAGTTGTACAAGTACACACACAACCACACACACGTTGGGTTTCCGTGTTGAATGGTGACTTTCCATGTGTGTTTGTGTGTGTTTACATATCTAATGATTTGTGATTCTACAGGCACCTCTTATCATCTTGTTGGTCAATTGCATTTATTCACTGTTGTCATCTTGATGTTGATGTTGTTTTTTTGTCAGATTTATTGGAAGTTTCTATATATTTTCATCTTAGAAGTGAATAGTAATAATAAAGGTTCTTTATTGACATCGATGGTTCCATGAAGAACTTTTAACATCCATGTAACCTTTCCATTCCAGTACAGGTTCTTTATAGTGGAAAAATGTTCTAAACCCAAAATATTTCTTATATGGCATTGTGCAGTGTGATTTGTTTTCCCCCTCACTAAACCATGCCACCAGTCCTGTACACGATGACGAGTTACAGTGTCTTTAAAATAATTAATTTCAATCCAACGTCATGTTCTTAACTGACTGAAGTGGAACCTGTTGTGCTCTTCGGTTTCTTTGTCCATTCAGAAATGCAGTTTGCATCCTGTCAGCTCAAACCTGTTTGACTATCCTTCTTTGACTTCTCTCCAAGGAATTTTAGTCTCCAGAACTGCCACTGGATGTTTTTGTTGTTAACACCATTATCTCAGCAGTTCATACAAACACATCACGTACAGTATTTCTTCACCCATTCTGATGTTTGGTTCGAACAACATTCTAAGAAAAGTCAGAAAAATATATGCCCAATGTACCGTGTTAATATTTTCTGTATTGATTTTCTTTTACAGGTTACTTTACCCATATTTTGAAATACAAACTGCATTTGGTTGTATTTTAGGGTTGAAAGAAATGTCCGTAAACTTAGCGGAAAACGTCAGTAGCACCTCATTGCAGTACACGAGATCCAGGGGGCGGAGTTGGATCCAGATCTAAGGGGTGGAGATGGGTAGGATTAGGGGTGGGGTTAGGGATCAGGGGGTGGAGATGGGTAGGATTAGGGGTGGGGTTAGGGATTAGGGGGCGGAGATGGGTAGGATTAGGGGTGGGGTTAGGGATCGGGGGCTGAGATGGGTAGGATTAGGGGTGGGGTTAGGGATCAGGGGGCGGAGATGGGTAGGATTAGGGGTGGGGTTAGGGATCAGGGGGCGGAGATGGGTAGGATTAGGGGTGGGGTTAGGGATCAGGGGGCGGAGATGGGTAGGATTAGGGGTGGGGTTAGGGATCAGGGGGCGGAGATGGGTAGGATTAGGGGTGGGGTTAGGGATCAGGGGGTGGAGATGGGTAGGATTATGGGTGGGGTTAGGGATCAGGGGGCGGAGATGGGTAGATTTAGGTATATGTATGGTGGGAGGAGTTGGATCTGGATCCAACTCCTACCCCCCTGGATTTCGTGTTCTGCAGTGAGGACCATCTCGAAAACGTAGCCTACTGGTAATTTTATGCTAGGACCTCATACGTTTTTCTACAGTGTTATTTCTTATAGTGAAAAACCAAACCCCTTGTCCATCTCTACATGCTTTTATGCATTGACCACTGAGTGTATATTTAGATCTTTTAAGTTTTCATGATGCCATCAAGACTATATCTACTTTATTATATTCATATTGTACAATCCCTTTTTTATAACATGTCCTACACCTCATATACTCCATAACAGCAGCACTTTGGTATCAGCTTTCTGGAATACTTGATTTTGATTGATCAAATATCTTTGTATAATGACTACTAAATAATACAAATATTACTATATACAAATTGGCCATGTTCACACTAAAGTTCAACAGAATTCCTACTTGCCTGCCGGTATTATCTTTATAGAATAAGTGGTTAGTTAACACAAGACAAACTTCATGCCTCTACATATGAATTCTGCAGAAAAGATATGACATTGTAGCCCTAAATTAGATTCGAGTCATTTATTAATTATTAATATTTGAATGGCAGATCCAGCCCAACTTTGACTTCATGGAGCTGAATAAGATGTGCTGGACTCTGTCTGCATCAAAACACATCAGCAACAAGAATCTGCTCATCTCAGAAAGTGATGCCTTCAAGGTGTGGTGTATCTTCAACTTCCTGTCTGAAGATAAATATCCACTGCACATTGTCACAGATGAGGTTGGTTCTACTTATTTTTAATCTTAGGATTCCTTGTAATTGTATGGAAATAATGAGGTATTTCTGTATTGTAACAGCTTGAGTACTTCCTGCGCAAGCTGTTTGCAGCAATGGGTTGCAGTTGGAACGAGGGCAGATTTGAAGACTACAAAATGCAGCTCAGCGCAAAGAAATGTCACCTGAATGTGTGGGAACTGATTGAGCTTATTGGCATAGGCCATTTCACCAAGGGCATAGACCCTCAGACTCTCTCCATGGGCATCAATGAGGTCTGTCAGGAAATTGTTCTGGATGTTATTAAGCAGGTGGGTGTCTGTGTTAATGTATTTAAATAATATGGGTTATTCCAGGTCTGCTCTGGTCTGTACATGAGAGTCACGTGCTGTCAGTTAAATTAGTTGTGCAAAGACCACTGACTAGCCAGTGAACACGTAAGGGTTAATGCCCGATGAGGTGTCCATTGTCATTTGACGGTTGCCTCCGCCGAAGTCCATGGACACCTCAAAGGGCATTAACCCGCTTATACCATGATCACTTGCCAAATAACACATTTTTAAAACATTAGTTTATATTTCAATTAGTTTTACAATCGAAATCTAAAGTTTTTACAAACAATAACTTGGTTTCCCTGGTGACGCCTGACGGTTTATTTAGCAACCGGTGATATTTATAGTCCGCTCAGCTCGTAGAACCCTTCAGTTCCCTTTCGAGAGGTTCCTCCTATTGCGTAAGTAGCTTACGCTATTGGAAAACTCCTTTTCTCGAGAAATATTGAAGTCTTTATGTAAAACGCATTGCAGCTGCACAGCATACAGCAATGAGCGAGGCAGCTCGGTCATTGGCTGTGCTGCGGCAACTGCACGAACCTATGACGGGGCGACTCTGAACCCGCTTCCAATGAGCGTGCTTCGCGCCCGCGCGCGAGTCAGAGCCCGCCAAGATGGGCGTGGCCAAGGGCTATATATTGGGCGCCCCGTCGTCTGAGTTCTTTAGATTTAATCTCCTTCAGCAAAGACCTTCTCTTCGCTGGATCCTCCGGATTTTTGGAGTCTTTTCGCCGCCGCCGTCGACAAGCCTACAGCAGGACTGCTTCGAGGACGCCGGCGCCTTCAGCCGCCTTCGATCGCCTTCTGCTAAGCCATCCGGCGCGCATCACATATATCCTTTTCAAAGCTACCAGTGTTCGCCCCCGCGACACTTTCTAAAAGAGCAAATTAACTGGGCGTTGTTTCAAATGCCTTCCTGCGCCTCGTGTCGAGGCCCTCTTCAGGACGGGGATCGTCACATCATTTGAACCCGCTGCCTGGGACCGGACCACGCAGAGGCTGCCCTTACTCGAGGCGGATGCCCCGAGTGTGACGCCCTGGGCCTCACCGAGCTGCGCGCTCGCTTCGCCGCTTTCGCCGCGAAAGAGCCCACCTCCACCGTGCTACCATCCCCTCTGGTCGAGCCGCGCAAGAAGAAGCGCCGCTCACAGAGGCCGCCAGAGCACGCGGTTTGCAGTGACGTCACGCCGGGCCAATCCCCGCGTGCTTCACCACCACCCGAAGACTCCCCGCCGCCAGTCCAGTTCACACAGGCGGACCAGCACCCCTCCAGCAGAGCGATGGGTCTCGTCTCGTTTGGCGCGTCAGGGGATGACGACGAAAAGTATGACAGCCTTTCCTTTGATGCTGCATCCGACGACTGGCCGGGCTCGTCCTTCGACCCCGCGCCATCGACGTTAGCGGGCACGAGCGTGGGCTCCAGCATGGACTGGGAAATCGTCCGCATCCTGTCTAAGGCCGTGGAAGACCTCGGGCTCGATTGGTCTTCCCCGGAAGAACCCGCCCGCAGCCGACTGGACGAGTGGTTCCTGCAGGGGCGCCGGCAGGCTCCTCGGCAAAGGCCCTCCCCTTTCTTTCCGGAAGTTCACGGCGAACTCACGAAGTCGTGGAAAGCCCCGCACTCCGCTCGCCTGAAGCCTTCTTTCTCTTTGTCGCTCTCCTCTGTGGACGGCGCGAAAGAAAGAGGCTACGAGGGGACTCCGCCCCTCGAGGAGGCTGTGGCCAATCACCTGTGTCCACCCTCCACAGCTGGATGGAAAGCCAAAGCTTCTCGTCCCTCGAAGCCTTGCCGATCTACTTCAGCTCTCGCCGGTCACGCATACGCCGCCGCCGGCCAAGCTGCGTCAGCGCTTCACTCCATGGCTGTCCTCCAAGTGTTTCAAGCTAAACTTCTCCGCACCATGGATGAGTCTGGACCTGATCCTGAGGCATTCAAGGATCTGCGCAGCGCCACTGACATAGCACTGCGAGCCACAAAAGCCACCCCCCAATCCATCGGCCGTGCCATGGCTAACCTGACTGTCCTTGAGCGCCATCTGTGGCTGACGCTAACAGAGATGAAGGATGCAGATAAGGCGTCGTTCCTCGACGCGCCTATCTCCCAAAGCGGCCTGTTCGGACCAGCGGTGAAGGAGTTCGCTGAGCGCTTCACCGAAGCCCGTAAGGATTCGCAGGCTATGCGACACTTCCTGCCCAAGCGATCTAGCTCATCGCAGAGCCGCCAAAAGCCGCCTCAGCAGCAGCGAGTCAAGACGGCGCCTCCCGTCTCTCAGCCCAGACCTGAAACTGACTTTCGACGCCGCTCGCGCTCTGCCAACAGGAAGCAACCGCCCGAGCGACGGGGACCTCGGCCCAAGATTGTGCTGAACCCAGAGCCTCGTAAGTCTTCCTAGCTACAGGGAGAAAGAGAAAGAGCGCGTGTCTCGCAGAAGCCGGACCGCTTTCTCCAAAACGTCTAAAGCATTACCCAGTCCCCTTACAGGCGGCTGAAAATGTCTGTACAGCAGCCAACGGGCCAGCCGCACAGCTCGCTCACCTGCAAACAAACGCCGTTTTTACGGCGACACACAGAAATCACATAAAGAGCCATTTTCTGCCTGTGTCATTAAGGGGTCACGTGTCCACACTAAAGTGCGCATTCCCACATATCAAAACTGTCAAAGCAGTGCCAAATGCTTTCCCAGCTCAGGCTGGACGCCCCATAAATGTAGATTGTGTGCCCACTGTCATGGATGCACCACTACACATAAGCACTGTTCCCACAGTTATAAACACTTCCCCAGTAAAAGCGGGAAATTCTATAAGAGTAGCGCGTGTGCCCGCTGTTATGCACGCACCCCAACTCACAAACACTGTTTATATGGCGCCCGCGCCTCTGAGAGCTGTAAACTCAGTATTAGCACAGGGCGATTTGCCGGCGGGAGCCATACGTCACTGCGACACGCCCCCAGCCAGCATTCAGCCTATATCTGTGCGAGCGAAAGCTTGGGAAAATATCCCCGGCATGCCGAAATGGGTTTTGAACATAATAAAACACGGTTACTCGCTTCAATTCGCTCGCAGACCGCCCCGCTTCACAGCGGTGGTCGAGACGAAAGTGAGAAAAGATGTTTCACATGTTCTACGCACCGAGGTGCTCAAACTGATAGAGAAGGGCGCTATAGAAACAGTCCCTCCCTCTATGAGCGAGGCAGGTTTTTACAGTCGCTATTTTCTCGTCCCGAAGAAGGATGGTGGTCTCCGCCCCATTCTAGATCTCAGACATCTGAACAAAGCTTTAATGATTCGCTCGTTCAGAATGTTAACAACCAAACATATCCTCGCGCAAGTTCGCCCAGGGGATTGGTTTCTATCTGTGGATCTGAAAGACGCTTACTTTCACATTCCGATAGCGCCTCATCACAGGCCATTTCTGAGATTCGCTTTCGAGGGACAGTCATACCAGCACACAGTACTACCATTCGGCCTGTCACTGGCACCCCGTATATTTACGAAATGCATGGATGCAGCACTTTCCCCCCTGAGACAGCGGGGAGTGCGAATACTGAATTATCTCGACGATTGGCTAGTCCTAGCACAATCAGAGAGCCAGTTAGTGACACACAGGTCTTGGATTATCAGTCATCTAGAACGCCTGGGTCTAAGAATCAATTTTGCAAAGAGCATGCTATCCCCCAGCCAGAAAATATCTTTTCTGGGAATAGTGCTAGACTCAGTGCAGATGACGGCGCGCCTCTCATCAGAGCGCGCGCTCACTATCCGGCGCCTTGCAACATCGTTCAGAGCGGGCGCGCGCGCCCCCCGTCAAGCGATTTCAAAGGATGCTCGGTCTCATGGCCTCAGCATCAGCTGTACTCCAGCTAGGATTGTTGCACATGCGTCCTCTCCAACGCTGGCTCAAAAGCCGTGTCCTCACTCACGCGTGGCGCTCGGGCCACTTTTTAATCAGAGCGAATCACGGCTGCATAAGAGCCCTGACGCCCTGGAAAGCTGTCGACTGGTATCAGTCCGGTGTGAGTCTGGGCGTTAACACAAGGAGAAAAATTATCACGACAGATGCCTCCAAAATAGGTTGGGGGGCCCTTTACGAGGGCAGGCCTGTCTCCGGCTTGTGGTCAAACCCGGAGAAGCGCCTACATATAAACTGTCTGGAATTGAAAGCGGTCGCTTTGGCTCTCAGAGCCCTGCTTCTGTACCTGAAGGACGAGCACGTCCTGGTCCGAACGGACAACATGTCGGTAGTCTCGTATATAAATTGTCAGGGTGGACTCAGGTCGAGCTCCTTGCACTCGATGGCCAAGGAACTCATCCTATGGTCCCAGCGCAACCTGCGCTCGCTGAGAGCAGCGCATGTGCCAGGTGTTCTGAACCAGGGAGCGGACATGCTGTCCAGAGACAAAGTTCTCCCAGGAGAATGGTCTCTCCACCCCCTGACGATTCAGTGGTTATGGCAAACCTTTGGCAGAGCAGAGGTCGTCCTCTTTGCCTCCAAGGGAAATGCGCACTGCCCTCTCTTCTTTTCAAAGAGCACAGACACGCTCGCCCAAATCTGGCCGAGCCGCCCGCTGTATGCCTTCCCTCCGGTCGTGATGCTACCTCAGGTCATCAGTCGGATCAGGGAGGAGAAATGCGCAATGCTCCTGGTAGCCCCACTTTGGAAGAACCAGACGTGGTTTCCAGAACTGATGCAGATGATGCAATTTGCCCCATGGCCGATTCCGCTGAGGCTAGACCTCCTCAGGCAGGCCAACGGGATGATCCTCCATCCCCGCCCCGATCTGTGGGCCCTCCATGCATGGCCCCTCAACGGGTTCCCGGGAACCTCCCCAGTGGAGTGTTGAGAACCATCACTGAGGCGCGAGCGCCCTCTACGAGGCGCTTATATAGGAACCTGAACCCTGAGACATGCGAGGTACCGAGTGTGCTCGTTTTCTTACAAGAGCTGTTGGAGGCAGGACGCACCCCCTCCACGCTCAAAGTATATGTGGCTGCCATAGCGGCATCACACGACCCTGTAGAAGGATGCACACTAGGGAAAAACGACCTAGTTGTTCGTTTCCTGAGGGGCGCCAGGAGGATAAATCCCCCACGCCCCCCCTCAGTGCCGATCTGGGACCTGGCCACGGTCCTGGACGCACTCAAAACTGCCCCGTTCGAACCCCTCCGAACTGTGCACCTTAAACAGCTCTCGCTCAAAACTGCTCTCTTGCTGGCTCTCGCCTCGGTCAAGAGAGTGGGCGACCTGCACGCGCTGTCATCAAGCGCTGCCTGCCTGGAGTTTGGACCTAACGACAGCAGAGTTGTCCTCAGGCCAAAACACGGGTATATTCCTAAGGTGCTCTCTACACCCTTCAGAGCACAGGTGATATCTCTGGCCGCGCTATCGTCTCCAGCAGACGAAAGCGACGCTAATTTACTCTGCCCGGTCAGGGCGCTCAGAGTATATTTGGAACGTTCTGCCCTGTTCAGACAGACAGAGCAATTGTTCGTATGCTTTGGCGGCCGCACCAAAGGTCTCGCTGTTTCAAAGCAGAGAATATCGCGCTGGATAGTTGATGCTATAGCGCTGGCTAATGAAGCCAAGGGCCTTCAGTGCCCCTTGGGCATCAGAGCTCACTCTACGAGAGGCATGGCCTCCTCGTGGGCGTGGTCGAGTGGGATACCCATTCAAGATATTTGTGCGGCAGCAGGCTGGGCCTCACCGTCAACATTTATCAGGTTTTATAACCTACAGGTCCCCTCATTGCACTCCAACATACTGTCGGTCTAACTATGCATAGGCTGGAGTGTGTACATGCTGAGCATTATCTCCTTCCTTATAGGGTCCGTCTCTGACTGACTTAGAGGGTTTTTCATGCATATCAGTACATAAAATGTGCTTGTGTGTTTTCTCTGGACGCCCATTGGGCCGTTCCACATTGTCCCTTATAAAGCCCGCCTTCGGCCGGCTCATTGGATAATTACTTTGCTTAAAGGCTCAGGCATCTGCCTCCGGCTTAATAGAGCGAAGTCAGCACGCACAGTGTTTTACATGGTGTTCCCATAGCGTAAGCTACTTACGCAATAGGAGGAACCTCTCGAAAGGGAACGACTCGGTTACTAACGTAACCTCGGTTCCCTGAGAGGAGGGAACGAGTATTGCGTAAGCTGCCGTGCTTGTGCTTGGTCAGTTCGCTTCAGTCGATTGAACCTAAAGAACTCAGACGACGGGGCGCCCAATATATAGCCCTTGGCCACGCCCATTTTGGCCGTGGCGCGAAGCAGGCGCGAAGCACGCTCATTGGAAGCGGGTTCAGAGTCGCCCCGTCATAGGTTCGTGCAGTTGCCGCAGCACAGCCAATGACCGAGCTGCCTCGCTCATTGCTGTATGCTGTGCAGCTGCAATGCGTTTTACATAAAGACTTCAATATTTCTCGAGAAAAGGAGTTTTCCCATAGCGTAAGCTACTTACGCAATACTTGTTCCCTCCTCTCAGGGAACCGAGGTTACGTTAGTAACCGAGTCGTTTAGCTAACTTACGAGCCAGGAAGTTAATGTATTTTTTTTATGTAAGTTAAGTTAGGCTTGTCTAGCCATGGGCGTTACACTTTCGTTTTTTTAACCTATAATTAAAACACACAGGTAGGCATAGTTAAGTATAACGGCTAACTAGATGTTTGTTTTGATACAATAATTTGTAAACGGATACTTTGACTGCCTGTTGCTATGGTTACTCACAGGTGATGTAGCCACCCCAGCGCATTTATTCATTAATTTCGAACAGTAAACAGTCAGTTTCACCAGAACTCCCTCTATCACTTTTTAATGGACACCCTGCAGCCAATCAGAATCGAGTATTCACCCAGACCATGGTATAATAGAGAAATAAACGGATATCCCTGACAAATCATTAACTTGGTATATTTTTCATTCAAAAAGGGCTATATGATGAAAAAAGGCCATAAAAGGAAGAACTGGACAGAGCGATGGTTTAAGCTCCATCTCAACTACATATCCTATTATGTGAGTGAAGACCTAACAGAGCAGAAGGGATGTATTTCGCTTGATCGCAACTGCTGTGTCGAGGTAAAAGCTAATAAATTTTTTTGTAGTATTTGTTGTTCTGAGTTGAATTTTAAAGGTACTGTATGTTTGACTATGTAGCAGAAGAATAGGCAAAATTTGGGACATACTAACTTACTACGTCAGGACTGTGCATCCTGTCACCGTAAACTACTGGCCTGTCAATTATTTTGTCCCAGTTAACCACCCCATATACACACTCCACATTTCAGTTTTTTTTATGTATGCTACTCAACAATTCTTCCTACCATTGGAGAGAAAAGAAGTAGCTATGTTGATCTGTCATCCGTGGGTCTTTATTGCGCAGAACTCTCTGTTTTTGCATAATGATGCTTTTAAAAGTGAATGGCCAAACACATCTTTAAAAAAGTTCACAATGTTGTTGCAGATTAAATATATATAAAAAATGATCAGGTTGGATATTGATTATTAATCACTCAAACTCCTTTATCTAAACCTCTACTTAATCATCAGTCTTGTACATCCATTTTTACGTGTGTTTGTAGTTCTAAAGTAACTGAATCCTCCTCAAAAGTGCAATGGGTTGTGAGCAATTTTAATGTGCATAGGTCTGCATTTCGAATTTCCACCATAAATAGTAGAGCATCCGCACACCTTTAGGATATTAATTTCAACATACTATGAATTGGGACGCATTCATTCCAATGTTGAAAGCTATTTTGGATGGATAGTTTGCGAATTGGGACGCAGAAATAGAATATCTTGTCATCATTTACACACTCTAATGTTAATCCAACCCTGTATTATTGGCTTATCTTATGAATGCAAATGTTTTGCAGAATGCTTCCTTTTTCAGATAATAAAAGTCAATGAGTATTGTGGCTGTCAAAAAGGGCACCTAAAGGGATCATAAAAGTAGCTCATATGATTTATGAGATATATTGCGAGTCTTACGATAGTGTGAGGACATAATTTTAAGTTGTTATTCACAAAAAATATCTTTTGCACTTCCATGTATTCAAACTTGCCACCTCAAGTTGCTTGTTTTATAACATTATGGTTTCTTTCATGTTTTGTGGTCATGCTTTCTGATGACACGGTGTGTTACATTTAAATATTCTGAATGGATTGCTATGGCAGGACAATATACAGGTTTGGAACAACATAATGGTGAATAAATGATGAAATGATTTTTGGGAGAACTATCCCTTCAAATATCTAAATTGCTCTGTCTTTGCAGTCCTTACCAGACAAGGATGGAAGGAAAAACCTCTTCATTATAAGATGTGTTGAGAAAAGTTTTGAGATCAGTGCATCGGATAAAAAGACAAAACAGGAGTGGATTCACGGTATCACATATCTTTGCTGCTCACACAAATTTTACACTGATGACATTGACATTTTTGTACTGTATATCCACAATCTCCTGCTGAGTAAGTTTTTGTTCATGTGTATGTTAGCCATCCAGGACTGCATTGTCCGCATAAGGCAAGGCCTTTCCTCCGCACACCGAGAATCCAGGCAGAAACGCAGGGAGCTGAGAAACAGGATGAAAGCTGAACAGGAGATCATGGAGAAGAGAATGAGACAGCTGCAGTTGGCCAACGAGAGCAAACAGGCCCAGCTGGAGGCCATGAGTAAGGTATTGTGGCCTTCCTTAAATCATTGAAAGATACAAACATACAAACATCACCTGCAAAATGCCTTAGATTTCAAGCCATTTAGTAGAATCTCTGTTGGAGATGTTGGATTATAGCTCCAGTAGGGAGTTTTGAGAAAACGTTGACTTAGCCTGAAAATTTGAACAAGCACAGCTTACAGGTCCCACCCCCTTGCTCTCTGCTGCGCTACAGCCCTGTTGTCCCTCCACAGCTCGTCCTCCACAGCGGAGCCTGTCGTGAACGCGCAGGCTAGTAAACAGGGCCACCGATAACAGCGGATAAAAAGTTATATGGCACATTCACTAATAGGGACTAAACGTCAATAATATGCTTTACATTGACTATGGCCTGCCCATACTTTGACTACAAACTTGGTCCTCAAATCATTATGTATTTTCCAATAGCCTACATGTAATTTTATAATGTTGCACTCTTTCTATAAGTTATAACTAGCTAGTAAGATAACGTTAATATAACGGTAACTAACGTTACGGTATGTAAGTAATTATTCTAGCGATATATAATGCTAGATAAGGTGTGCTAGTACATTATTTCAGCAACATGACAAGCCAGTGAATTAGCAGGTTTCAATTGTTGCTTAGCAGAGTGCGTGACATTTTATCTACATGTTATGCGGCTAGAGTTTTGACACAGAGTCAATGGGCTCTGTGTAATTCTTTCTTTTTCGCTTGTTTATCGTCATCGGTCTTTTTCCTTTTACCTCTTTGTTTTATGAGCAGGTGTCACTCGAGAATTGGCAGTTTAGGTTGTTTCTCCGTCATAAGCACAGCTGCAGCACGCCGGCAATCTTGAGTTTTAACGACGGCTCGCGCTGTGCAAGAGAGGGGTGTGATCAGCGCATACACGAGCGTGATTGACAGTGCTAAGACACTCCTCCTGGCTCTGATTGGTTGTTCCTGACCGGGAGCGTGTATTTCTTGCAAATGGCAATAGGACCACTGGGAGGAGCCTGATTTTTACACAGATTATCTGTCTCATATTCTACTGTCAGGACATAATGACAGTTTTAGCAAATACATGTTTTCAAAAGTTACCTACAGGAGCTTTAAATGTGTATTCAGTAGTTCTTTAGCTAACGGTAGCATTGCCTTTCTTTGTGTAATTTGTACCGATACCACGATGCCATCTTTCGATGTGGATCAGCATGATCGTCGTTACATCGTTTTATATAAATTACGCATTACTAGTGAGTTTTAGAGAGCGGTTTTCACAATAATGAATTCCCCTAGCTGTTTAACAAAACAGAAGCAACTTGTGCCTCTACTCAGGATTTTCTCCGTCATCTAATCTCTCCACATCATGTATGCCGTGCCGATGTTTACACTTGTTTTTTGGCTGTACAGGTACAGATTCTCCTGTTGTCTCCACTGGCAAAGCTGGATAATAAGTGTGTTCCACTGTCCAATTTTCGCTCTTCCGATCACCAAACTACACTGCGCTACTAGCGTATCTGCAGAGGCGGCAGCCAGTCACCGTAAGGGTTCTTTTCGACGCTTAGTGAAATTGTGCGTTCACGCCATGTTGGAATTACGTAATTATGGGATTCCGACTTGTTAAAAGCATTCACATCCTTGGAGAACTGCTTCGACTTGTACCACGTGAACGCTGCAGATTCTTTGTGCCGTTGATAGTGTTTGATATTGGCATTGATAACTATTATGAGTTCAATCTTCATCTCATGTGAGTGTATACAGCAATCAGATGACTTCACAAAAACACAATATATTTCATAATGTCTAAAAGGTATTAAATTAGCACCATACTAATCAATGCACCTTTAAACTGTGTGCATATTACTCTATTTAAATACCCTTTTCTTTTTGTGCACTTTTTTCTGTCACCTCACCCTTTGACTCATTTTTATTTGCCTACATTATGTCTGTTTATAGCACACTATTAGTAATATGTGAAGAAAGTTTCACATCCTTGTCTGTTTTTTTTTCTTCGTGTTAAACCTTTAATTAAGTTCCATGTTAAACGTCTGACTCTTGTAATCCTGTTCGACCATGAAGAGAAAGCTACTGAACCTACTGAAGCTCTTACTGAACCTTCTCTCACCTCTAAACTGAAGCTGATAAATGTGAAGATATTTTTAGAACATTTTTATGCTAAAACAGCCCTGCTGTCGGAGCCATAATCTTGTAGATCGTGCTCTGACATATAGTGCAACAGCACCGCAGGCGACAATCCCAACTGTCCTGTCATATATAAGCAAAAAGGCCCAAAATATAGCTTGAAAACGCTCATATTTTAGGACATCTGCAAAAGAGAACTCCATAGCAATGAAGCCACACTTCCTGTGTATGGGTGGTTTTGACTTTTACCAGTTCCTGTTTTATATCTTCAATCTCAAGGGATTGTTTCATACTTTATCATCTATGAAGCAGGAAATATGATTATTACTTGGCAGCATGAGACTAGTTTGATTTTTAACTCCTGTCAACCATGCAAGGCTGTTAAACTTGGAAACTTTTGCACAATACACGCTGTGATAATGCAAAAATGCATAACCAAACTAGTCCCACACACACTTTTTTTTTTTATATACATAAATAACATACATCTTAAGCACTTTAACAAGTTGCACAAAGTTGTTCTGAATGCCTTGTGTCATTTACTTGTACTGTAAGTGCATTATTATTATTGCATTATTATTGTAAACGTGTATTTGTTTTTACAAATTGTGGGATGAACTGAAGTGATTTTGTTGAAATTTATGAGCTGCGGTTGATTGAAACTGGACCTTTTTTTTTATTAATTATACAGTGACTGAAAGCTAGTTGTTATTTTCTGTGTTTCTCCCTTTCTGGCTCACAGAAGCCTTAGTTATTGCTTTCATTTTGTGTGGATGTTGCAGGACCTACAGGACACATCAATCCGGGGTGATCTGGAGGAACAGAGAAGACTTCAGGCCCAAACAGAATTACTGGACCGATGCAGACAAGACCTGGAGCAGGAGAAAATGGTAATTACAACCACCTTATGTCTTTTTCACAATGACAGTGATTTTATTAATGGAGGTCACCAGGTTGCTTTTAGGTGTTCATATGGCCGGATGCCATAATTGCTGATGTGTAAGAGGCCTACACTTTTAAAAATCTGTTCATAAATTGAATTTATTGCTATAATAAAATGTCATTTTAGTTTGACATGTAATCGGTTTTCTTGCTGCCAAAATTATTATTTTAATTAATTTGAGCCACACATGTTATTTAAAATCGGTGTTACATCTCTGCCTTAATTAAATAAACACAAGGACACGCAGTCGGCATGAAACAGAAGTTGCGTTAATCTTTTTTTCTCAATTGTGTCGTATATCTGAGTGAAACAAGAACAAATGTAGGGCGGGACTTGATTTTGTCCATGGAATTGATTGGATGGTTGTGGTTTGCTATTGGTCGATCTCATGTGAGTGACAGGTTGCCCCGCCCTTGCTTGGGAGGGGTTATTTTGATTAAAGATTATGAGGGCACATGAATAAAAAAAAACAATGATGTGCATGGATAAATGTTTTATAATAAATACTGCAAAATATATATAAAAAAGTCAACTTTGATTTTATGGTGACTTTGTTAAAATTAAGGGTGTCAATTGATTAAAATTAATAGAGTGTGTATGAGTTGTTGTGATTAGTTTAATTAGTTCTAAACATGTTAATGCATTCAGCTCCTTTTTAAGAAAAGAAAGAAAAAAGAATGCCTAAATTATTGTATAGAAATGCAGCTCTTTTCCGCCGAAAGGCTGTCAGTTTGCAAGAAAGCACAATAAAGTTGCTCTTCTGTGCCACATATGCAGGATGTGTGGTCTGATGTATGAATTTAAAATGGCTTCCTTCCTAGGCTCGAATGCAGATGGAGGAGCAGGTGGTTGAAAAGTCCAGTGAAGTGGAGCAGTACTGGCAGCGTATGCAGGAACTGGAAGACATGTACCGTCAGCTGAAACAGGCACTAGACGATGAGAAGCAGGCCAAAGAGGATGAAGAAATCTTGCGCAAACTGCAGGCCAGGTAACAGTGCGCAAACACCCAACGTCCAGATTCAGTATGCACAGAAGGGCCACAGAATTATGCAGAACATGTGTGTGTTTTGTTTTGCAGGCTGTTACAAGAGGAGGCAAGCAAGAGGACAGAATTAGAGCAGATTCACCAGCAGCAGAAAGAGGTCTTATCCCAGTCCCAGAAAGAGAAAAAAGAGCTGGAAAAAGAGAAGGTAGAGAGGGAACGTGCCCTGCAGGCTGCACTGGAGCAGCTGGAGAGCCTTAGACAAAAGAGACAGGGGGCGCAAGATGAATACAAGGTAGCGGATTTTTTAATGATTAGGGATTTTTTACACAATTTATTATGTTCGCTTTATCAAATTAACATTCTCCTTTTTAGTATATTTTTTCTTTTACAACATATTTAGTTTAGCTTCTTTTACTCTCTTGCTCTGTGGTTCTCAACCAAGGGTCCAGGGCCCACTAGGGGGCCTCAGCAAACTTCCAAGGGGCCCTCAAGTTGTCTTAAAGGGGTCATATGATGCTTTAAAGGAAATGTCACAATGTGAAATATTAGCATAATGACCACCAAAAGGCATATGCAAAGAAAGAGGCAAGGCTTTAGTGAATTGAAGGGGTGTCGTCATGTCTCGGAGACGCTGTGTGTTTTGGTGAGAAAGCAAATCCGCTTTGTCTGGCCTTCCGAAAATGGGTGAAAATAGGAATTAGAGGTTAAGATTAATTTATAAAGCTGTTCCTGAGCAGGTCAACCCAAATTTTTGCTTATGCATTTTACAGAGGACAGCTTCCTGAACCTGGGAGAGCACAACGCCGGCTATATACAACGACTGCTTATCACTGTGAAACGTCCTGCTCAAGTTGTGCTTGCAAAGTTAGTTCCGATCGATCGGCTTGATTATCTGCATTTTCAGAATCTGACTCGGGCTCGAACTTATACGATAAAACGATAACATTATTAGCTGTGTTTACAATTGCTTATGGTAAGGGACATTATGTTTCCAACCAACGCTTGAGGTGTTTGGCCAATCACAAATCACTGGGTCATCTGGCCAATCAGAGCACTCTGAGCTTTTTGCAAGTAGGGGCTTTGTAGAAATCAACGTGTTTCAGACAGACTGGGAATAGAGTAAAAAATAATGTTTTTTGACCATTAAAGCGTTACCTAGGCTATTAAACCTAATAAACAAATAATTAACTTTTAAAACATCATATGACCCCTTTAAAATGATTTAAAACAAGACAAAACACGCTTTAAAATAAGCTAAAACTATTAAAAATCGAGATAATTCTTGTTTTATTTCACCCCTCAACAACTAAAACTTATTTTTTTGACGAAACCAGTGAAGATTTCCACTGCCTTGAAAACCTGGATATATGAGAAGAACATCTGATTTTAATTGTCTCTAATAGGTGTATTTCTAGACTTGGAAAAGTCATATAAATTAAAATGCCATGAGCGTTTTCTAAAATATTTTGAGATTTTTCCTTATCCTTATCTGATAATCATGTAATCACGAATGACTGGAAAAGTCAGAATCATTGGCTAAAAATAGTGGGGACCCTGAAAAACAATTTAGCTAAATGAATCATTATTTTAGTTACTTAGGCCTATATATGGACATATATGGTGGGGACGGGCTTCAAATTTTGTTGTGGACAATTGGAGTCAAAAAGGTTGAGAAGAATGAAAACCACTGCTCTAGCACTAATATCCCTCTCATCAAACAGAACAGACATTGCTTGTTGTTTCCACTTTTAGTTTCATTTTTTAACATAAGGTAAATGATCAGGATTTCAGTGACCTTTATTGTTTTTCAGGCCGTTACGAAGAAACTGGAACGTGCAAGTAACAAGACAAAGACTTGGAAACACAAGGTCTCTAAACATGAGGGCCTACTTCGAACCGTTCAACCAGGTGACCGAGTGTGAAGTTTCTCGAATACCAGATAGCCTTACCAAAAGCACCACTTTATGTTTTATCATGTATTTCTCAGGCAACAGCAAGTCACCCGGTAAAATGACCAACTGGGGACAGGCAGCGTTCACCGAAACAGAGCTGGATCAGATGGAGAAAATTTGGCAGGAGAACAAGAATAGAGAATGGGATGGAGAGTAACACCTAATACATCAATTTCCTTTATTTGTATATTTATTTTTTTATTTGCCAGGCAGTCCTCATCCTGATCTTATGTTACTGGTTAAATCTGTTGTTACTGAATTTTTTTTTATTTATTCAACCGTGTGCTTTTTGACGTCTGTCAGAGGGTTTGAAGTCTGCTCAGATGAAAATGGAAAACAGGAACAAACAAACTGGTAGTCCCACGAGTCTTTATAGATGGTTTGCACAAGCACACTCTTCATATACATGTAAAAGAGCGAGTATAAAACAGAAAAATAGGTTAGGTTAAACCTAACCCACTCTGATAAACAAAGTGGAAATTAACACATTAATAGTTAGCGGTAGAGCGGCCATCTCTCTCTTTACTCAAGGTCTCTCTTTACTCAAGGTCTCTCTTTCTCTCTCTCTCTCTCTCTCTCTCTCTCTCTCTCTCTCTCTCTCTCTCTCTCTCTCTCTCTCTCTCTCTCTCTCTCTCTCTCTCTCTCTCTCTCTCTCTCTCTCTCTCTCTCTCTCTCTCTCTCTCTCACTACCTGTGAGCTATGCCTGTGAGTGCGAGCTCACATAAGAACAGCATGCATATACCCACAATAACCTACCATAGAAGAAGACATCTTAAAGGCACATCAACACACATGTCATGAACAGTATTTAACATTAGGTGGCAGTTACAGCTTGTATAATGGAACATGAGTAGAAAATATGTGCAAGTTGATTGTGTTGCTTTTGTTGTTAATGTAGAAAATTACATCCAAAATTGTTATACTTATATATGTTGTTTTTAAAAACAATGTTACATATTCTACATTCCAGGTGTATTTTTGAGTTCGAAAAATTGCTCAGAGTCAGCAGATTCACATATTCCTGCTGTGTCCTCTAGATGTCCCTGTTGATAGACAGATTCACCCCGTCATACACACATTTTCTGCACACAAGAGCCACCAATGGACAAAAGATACATAACTGTGATACTGTGTTACTCTGAGCAGTGCATTTAGCCTTGATTATTCTTTTTAACCTTTCGCTTCAGCTTGTTTTGAAAATATATAAAATAATACATTGTGTAGTTCATGATGGGTTGTTGTGGCACATTTTGTCTTTAATAAATAGAATCTATCAACCAAGGTGAATTATTTTAGTATTGATGGCTTTTTACGTGCTTTGCATAAGGTATACTTTTGTATCAGTTCATGTTTTTTTGGGGAATCAAACCCATGACCTTGGTGTTGCTAACTCTACTGTTTTTAGCCACAGTAGGCTATATATTTTTTAAATTGTGGTATTTTACTATTTTTTAGTACTTTTACTTTTGTATGTATAAAATTCTTAAATCTTTTTTCTTTCTTGTTTTACTATAGGCCTTGTCTGGTTGGTTGTTTTTATAAAACACAGGCAATGTCAATATAAAAGACACCGATGTTGGAAAGTTAAACTGTCAAAGTAGCCTGATATTGAGCATATTGTAAACCAGGCACGTTATTAAAACAATCAAATTGTTTCACTCTGCTTTTCTGTTAGCCCGTTCCAGACAGACAAGACAGTCTGCAGTAATGTAACCTGGCTGAAGAAAGTGTCACTAAGTGGACTTTCTGCAAGTTACATCGATACTACAGTAGGGAGAAATGGTGACGGTCTTTATAAGTGAATCATTGAATCATTCATTCCACCGATTCGCTCGAACACTGATTCATTCAGGAACAAATCTCCACTGTTGCTCAGCCACATTCGACGGTTGATAGAACTATTTTCGTTGGCGGAGTAAAAAAAAAACTAACTGGTACAATATTGTCTAAAATGTAAGTTACTCTTTATTTTAGTCTTAGTTGTTACCTCGTGCCTTCTGCGTGGCTGTACAGATATTTATAACAGCAGCATTTTCCTTTTTACAAGGACTTTTAGTGCTAACTTACTTATTCTTTCAAGACTTCAATGTAGACTACGTGATTGGACAGGGCCGAATTCAGTTGCCTGTATTCACATCACCGCACTCTGACACGATCAAATTTTGACAGAATTACAATTGTAAGTGACGTTATATAAGCATACTTTTCATTGAAGTGCATTTTAAACCTCCATTTTCAAAAACCCGTTTCAAACGTTTGCGTTTTCAGGCCTCCAAAACGCAATTGTCATGTAAATGACACAGTGTTTAATTGAAAACAGTGTGTGTAAACAGCCCCATGCTTTGATTTCTTGAGATGACTTTTCAGAAATTTGGATAGGCTTTCTCATTTCTCAAGACATCTTTTCATACAAAACAAAGATCTATCCTATCTATTGTGATGTTATACACAGCAAGGAGGCGCACATGAGGGAGAGAGGAGGTGGAGGATGCGAGAAGAGCAGGAAGGTGACCGGTGGTGACATGAAGGTTAGTGCAAATAAGCCTTATAAAAGGAACAAATAGCCTTTTATTTTATTTTGGGACTTCCCCCCCCCAATTTTATGGAGTGTAATAACCACCCAATTTCAACAGTCAAACATTTGGAACGATTTTGACTGTTTATAAGTTTACAATTTATTATAAGTATAAAAATAATATATTTAATACAAAAAATTGAAAAATAATTAGATTTTGATTAAATAATTATTAGTATATTAGTTAAATATACAGTAGCCTAAGTTAGAGTGTAGGGAGACCGACTCATGGTACTGGGCAGTCACTTCTGAGCTCTTTTTCTCCTTTAATTGGTTCAATTTGATTGGTCAATTTCTCTTTGTCATCATCATAGTGAAGTTCTTCACGTGCGGCCATTAAAAAAGTATGTTCTATATTGTATGAATGTGTGTGGATGTGCACCTCAGAATTTCGTCGGAAATAGTTGGGGTACTTTGTTTTCACCTACTCTTTTATGAATAGTAGGAAATCAGACATACTACTGTAAGACAGGTAAAACTGGAAGAACTGGACGAAAGGGCAACTCTCTGAGAAAACAAAGTAAATTAACATTTGAACTCTCTCTTCGGTGAAGTTAGTCTCACCTCAGAATCATCCTAATTTACATCTCTTTCCCTCTTCCCCCATTCCTTCTCTCTCTCATGCTGAGATCACCAAAATTCACCCAAAAATCTATATGGTTTAACGTGAATGATTATCATACAGTATTATACATGTTTGGTAGACTGGTACAACTGTCTCATTCCCAAAGAAGTAAAACAAAAGGTAATAAAGTTTTTAAGAGTTTAGAGATAACTTGCACACAGAGGATGCCATTTTCTTCCAGGAAAATGGCATCCCACTCACAAAAGATGTAAACTCTGAATGCAAATTCCCGTTGTTAGCAAATGTTTCCGTGTGAAAGAAGTTTCTGTCTATATAAAGAAATGCAACAAGAGGCTCAGGGCGATTTGTAGCTCAAATTAGCCCAAGACACTCCGCATCATGTGTTTTCTAATGTCAGGTTCAACTTCACATCTTTTCTCTTTATTCAAGAGCATTTGATCTTTTGTATTTATTATCTTTGAACTGATTATGAAATTGGCATGATACATTTACCTGACATAATAAATTGTTACATTTGATTTTATTCTGACTTGCTCTGAAATTGTTTTCCCAAGTAGATTAAACGGATTCGTATGTTACCGCAAAATCTGCGTCAGATTAGTGACGACTAATATTTGGCACTAATTCAAGTGTACTTGGTCTTGTAAAGACAAGAAGTGAATTTCTGTTTAGGACAGCAAAATACTGCTTGACCAACCTAAATTTGAGTGTGTCTTACCTGCTACTTTAGATAAGTGTACGTGGGAAACCAAAAGCCAATTCTAAAGCTATTATAAGAGAAGTAATGTTGGTTGACTTATATCTGTAGTAGTGGCCATACCTCTGCCTGAAGTAAACGTTACTTTAGATTCAAGTGTATACAAAAACCAGGGGGGGCTATACAAAAGTGTCTTTGATTTCGTGAATGCGACCATCTCAGGTCTATAGCCAATTACCTCTGACATTGGTTATGCTCATCTTTGCTTGCTCCTTTGAAAGTATCTTGAGTAAAACGGCTCTACATTTAATGAAGCACATACAAAAGACCTGGGCCATTATGTATAGAACTTCTCAGAAATGCTCTTAAGAATAGTCTTATTAAGCTTTGACTTTAGTGTCAAAAAATTCTTAGTAAAAAGTAGGACTTGTCTAAGAGTAGGAGACTTTTATAAAAAGAAGCTAAAAGCAACTTTCAGCAAAGTCTAAGACTGAAGTGATGACTGAAGTGGCACTTAAAGGGTTAGTTCACCCCAAAATGAAAATTCTGTCAGTAATTAGGCTACTCACCCTCATGTTGTTCCAACCCCGTAAGACTTTTGTTCATCTTCAGAACACAAATTAAGATATTTTTTATTAAATCTGAGAGCTGGATCACTCGATGTCTTTAACTTTTTTGGGCCGGCCAGTTTCGATCCCTTAAGAAGCCTATGGAGTAGGCTTCCCTAAAAATAGGCTTCTTAAGGGATCGAAACTGGCCGGCCCAAAAAAGTTAAAGACATCGTTAAAATAGTCCAATTGACTACAGTCGCTCAATCTTAAGTTTCTTAAATCTTTACATAATGCGGAAGTTTGTTGCTAATAACCCCCATTAGCAAGTAAAAGACACTTGAAATTTCAGTGAACAATGGTAAAAGGGATTGTTCACCCCCAAATTAAAATTGTGTCATTTACTCACCCTTGTTATGTCATTCCAAATCTGTATTACTTTCTTTCTTCTGTGGAAGAACTGGCATTCTTTTTATTCCAAAGTGTTTGTATGAGCTGACTATTCTGGATTAAGCAGCTATTTTGGGGAATTAAGCGATAATTAAATGTGCTGTATTAGAGGTTCATGTACTTTCAACAATATATAATAGTTTAAAACGTTCATATTAGTGCCATGCGACAGATAAACCTGCAGATTCAGATCTAAGGTAATGAATCAAATCAATGTGCTGAACTTCCATTGAACTTTGTTGTTCATGAAAAGAAACTGAAACTTGTTCCGTAAATGCTGATGAATTAGAACATTTCAGAAACTAGATTCCTGAAAACATGTCCTTACTGCGTAACATAAGACATATAATAGACACTAGTCCTCACAAGTGAGTGTCAAAACAAACAGGACTACGTTACGCTGCGTCTTTGTTTCTGGCA